GAAGTATATACTGCAGTGCAGTCCGTTCTGTCCTGTTGTACGGCTATGAGACATGGTCGTTGAATGCAGAAGACATGAAGTGGTTGCAAGGTGTTGATCACAGATTTCTTTGCAACACTGCTCGCATGTGATGGGATCACTGTCTAGGTAAGATGAAGTCACGCAAAGGTTACTAAGCAAGACAGGCAAGTCGATTAAAGAGGTTGCGAACTTCAGTCAACTGAGATGGCTTGGATATGTACTACCTACCTTGATGTGATATACTAAGGGAAGCTTCATTAAGTTACAAGAGCGTAGAAGGTGGCCAGACTTGGCATCAGTCAATAAAGACCCTGACTGTTGGTCTCAATTGTGTGGGGAGAGGTAGACTGCCTGGTTGAGGACACTTGATGAAATGGCTGTAAATCGGCCATAATGCCGCTGATGTATTCATTCCTTGAAATCGAAATCAAAAATATTTAAACTTACCGTTATCGTCAGGTTGCTTATTCTCCCACAAAACTACTTTGGTATCACTTTTTCTACTTGTTACTTATGTACTTCAGTGAAGTGTGGCCACTTGAACCGATAGACTCCTGTGCAAGGTTCTACGTTGACTTTGTCAGTCAGTTAGTATAACAGCCGTACAACAGGACAACGGACTGCACTGCAGTATATACTTCCTCTAATAAACAGTCGGATACCTCGCCGACGTCAGGTGATGTAAGTTGGCAAATGCCGAACGGACCGTCTGTATACGAGGTGAAATTCCGTCAGTAACCAGCCTGTTCGCGCTGATGCAACTCTCGAAGTAAGAGAAGTGGTCAATGCATTCCACCCCTCCACTTCCTATGGTTGAATTGGTAGTGCTTGCAACAGACCAGTCGTGGAGCATCATCTCACATTTGACAGGTGTGAAAACCATGCCAAACATACTCAGATTTCTGCTCAATCCATTCAGAAGACCCTGTATTTTGCCAGCGTCTTCACCTAACAGGAAAATATTGTTTGTATACTCCAAGTCAACCGAACAACCTCTAGGGGGTAGGTCAGTCCCTGTGATGAAGTCAGAAATACATAGGGTTATGTCCATTAAGGCGTCTATGACAAAGTTAAATAGGAACAGTGGCGGTGGGTATCCCTGTCGGGCACTACTAGTTGTTGTCAGTTCACTTGAAAACTCTCCATAATGCCTGACACAACTGCGTGAGTTTGAGCAGAGAGCTTTGATAAGCGTTATATACTTGCCCTATACTCCTGTTACGGTTAGACACTGCCACAACACCTCGCAGTCGGTTGAGTCAAATGCCGCCTTCAAGTCAAGAAAGATGGGGCTCTGGCCAGTAGGTATGCCTGTGTTCCAGGACCTGTTGGGGGGTAAAAATATGATCACTACACCGTCGTCCAGGTCTGAAACCTGAATGGTTTTCTGGAGTTTTTTTTTGAGCTCCAGTAAGGCTTCGGATAACTATGGATTCTAGGATCTTGTACACAATATTAGTCGAACGAATTTCCTCTATGGTTGTCACCAGAATTCCCCCACCTTGTTACTGACTTGGATGATCAGGGAAATACACCATTATGACGGGACTAGCTTTGATTCCCATACACTGCCTAGTACCTCCGTCACTCTAATCACCAATTTCCTACCTCCTTTCTTGAAGACTTCAGGAGGCAAACTGTCAGGTCCTGCTGCTTTGCATCGTTTCAGGTTCGATACAGCTTTCTTAACTTCCTGGGGATATGGAGGACCGACGTGGATGCTGGCTGTCATTCATGATAGGAGTTCGGACGTTAAGAGCTACAACATGAAACTGATGTTGAGGTCTTGAATGACTAGGAATAAGGTTTCGATGGCTTTGAACGTGGTCTAAGGTTGTGGAGTGGGAGATTAAGTAAGGCGTCAGGCTTTTAGTATTAGTATCAGGAGTCGAAGGATAAAGAGGAGACAGTTACGAAGCATAGGTTGTGTTCGATTGTGTCTTGTGTGCTACTGGAAGCGTGCACATGGTTATTTCCTTTCTAACCACTGCATCGAAGGCCATATCTTCTTGAGGTGCATGAAAGAAAAAAATATTGGTTTGACATCAACTTGAGGCCGATCACGTACGGTATTTTTGATGCCACGGCAACTGGCCTGTTGAATGGGACATGTGGTTTTGGATTTCCACTTATCACTCACTGTTAAGTGATCTAAGCCGCCATCATGCATCATATCATTGTTTAGAAACATGCTTGCAGTAACTGCTTTTTATCTAACCACTGTCCAACAGACCGTTTCGGTGTAGTAGAACGTCGAGAGAACAATGTTCCCACCAGAATAGCTATTTGGGTCATCGTGATATACAAGCCCGACCACCATGTCGAAGTAGCATATATAGGTCGAGATGGTTGTTGATTGTTCCGTTGTGAGACGTAGCGGTTTTAAGTAGAAGACATGAAGTGGTTACATGTGTTTGATCATAGATGTCTTTGCAGCACTGCACGCATATGGTGGAATCACTGTGTGAGCAGCGTTGAGGTCAGGTGAACAGTTCTAGTCAAATCAGGCAAGTCGATTGATAAGGTTGTGAATCTTAGTCAACTGAGATGTTTTGGACATCTAGTGCACACGTCAAGCCATCGCCTACCTCGATGTGCATTGCTAAAAGTTGAAATAAATTGGAAAAGCGTTCACGGTGGCCAGACCAATACCTGGCACCAGTCTATGAAGACCCTGACTGTTGCCGTGAGCTTTGTGGAGAGATGTAGACTGCGCAGTCGGGGTCACCTAGACGATAGGAACCAGTGTTTAAGGACTGAGACGGCCGAAAATTGGTCACAATGGCTCCACCTATCCATTAACACCACGACACAGCCTATTCTGCAGAGGTGATGATTGTCGAATTTCTGAAGCCTTCTCATGTCCTCCACCTTTAATAGCTATGCTTCACAGCCTTGCGTAGAACAAAGCGAATTGCAGCACAGCATACCCGGCTCTTAATAGGAAGTGGTATACCACACCAGTGCCACAAATTGTGTAAGTTGTCGCAAGCCAACCGAGTTTTTTAACCGTTCTCAGATTTCGTCGGTCACTGACTCACTAAGACTGGTCAGACTTCCCAGGTAGGTAAAATGGTCAACACATTCAACCATTTCACTCTTTACTATTAAACAGAGCACCACTGAAGACTAGTCCGGGAGCAACAATTTGTGTCGGGGTGGTGGTGGGTGGAACTCGTCCCAAGCATCTCAAAGTTGCCACTCAATGAGTCCGGTGGACTGCATTCTGTCGGCATTTTTATGCAACAGAACTATTTCAGCTACGATTTTTAAATCTACTAAGAACTCTTCTGTAAGAAGATCAATTCATATAGTTTGACGATTATAGGGCAACCTCTGTGAGTATGTTAATGATAAGAATATAGTGGGAATCCTTGTCGGAATCTGTTTGATATACACGTGTCACCTGAAGGCTCTTAGAAATTGGAATTATCAATGATCTAGGCGAATCTGACGGAAATTCTCCTGCTTTTTATAAATCTGCTAGCACCTCTATGTATTTGTCAGTAATCTCGTACCTCACGTGTAATAATGTTTGGCGGCGAATCGTCATATCCTGCCTCTGTTCCTTGTTTCAGGTTTAAAATAGTCTTCACTGAATATTTTAATACATAGTTTATCTGAGAGCTTGCATCTGAGGTAAGGATTCGGAACCCCTCGTTATGTTGCTTCTGCATAAGTTCCCTCATGTTTCAATAGCAGAGGCAAAATAATCAAAAACGGAGAGATTAAAACTATCGAAAATGATTAGACGGTGAATAACTAGTGTTCACCTCATTTTGATGAGTATTTTTGTGTTTATGTATTCAGTTATTCTGATCTTTAGGGAGTAAATAAGTATCCGTAAACAACAAAACGTAGCATAACTACGTAACAGTTGGAGATGCAATACCAACAGGCTTTTTAGATTGGTATAAGTGGAGCTAGCTTTCTACTGGAGACCTATGGATTGAAAGTCAAGGGCTCAAGTCAATTAACAACAACTTCCAAGCGACCCGAATCACCGAATAAAGTTGAGGTGATTTAGCGGAAGATTAACAAATTAATTCACCTAAACTCTTCCAGAGATCATATTCAATAATATACCAGAAAAGTAATGTGAACTGCGTTTCATAAATTATTATAGGTGTACCTTTTTTTATTTATCTACACAATTCTAAGCAAAATAGGAACTGAAGGTGACTTTACAAACCCCGCTTAACAATGTTAAGAGTACTGCGATTACTTTAGGATGTTTTGTATTTCGAGTATCTGCTACAGACTTTTTGTTTTCAGTTATCACAGTTCCACTCGTTGAAGTGACTAATATTTCTGAATAAACGCTGTTTTAACAAAGTTTTTCTGGTTCTTTTCTATGTTTTACTTGATTTTTCAACTGATCTTTCTGTGTTTGTGTTGGAATCCCGTTCCACTTGTTACTGTTATCAACACAATTTTTATGATTACATTTGTTAAGCGCAAAGCAATGGATAGCGACGAAAAATGCAATGCAGCTGCCTGTAAGATAGATTATTCTTATTACTAGAGTCAGGAGCGGACTTATGTACTGGACTCATGATGATATTGAGGTGTTCAGGTCAAAGTTGATAGAATGGGTTCCAAATTTATCACATCGGTGGGTAGTCACTTGGAAATTTGAACCACTAAGTGACAGCCAAAAATCTTACTTGAGTCAATCAAAAATACTGGCATAGATGGACGGAAATTATGTGCATCAAATATGCAACTCAAAGCTAAATGACGAAATAAGACTTATAATAAATAGTAGTTATTCAAAATTGAGAAATGAAGGTTACTAAGTAGACAGTCAACCCTTACTAAGAAGTACGATTGTTTTCAATATTATTTTTAAAGTCCATCAGTTAAAAATGACTTATTGTCATTCTTAGGATCTGAGAGACCATAGTTTATTTACATACAAGTTAATCGATTTGATTTCCAGTCAATAAATTTCCTATTTTGTTTATCCTTTATCAAAGATGTCATTACGTGATTCAGTAGATTATGCGTCCCAAGACCGTATCAGTCAAATTGCTCGTACTTACTGGCTTACGACCCAACAATCAGTAAAATGTAGTCAATCAACAACGACAACAGATAAAGATGTATACAGACCTTTCCAGCCAAAAGTAGTTGAACGAATTTATCGTGAGGAATTACTCTCTTCTGGATTTTCACATCGGAGGTGCTTAGGTCTTGAATTGAATCAGTATTTGGAGCAATGGCTTTGGCCACACTTCAATGCAGATACTAGTAGTCGTTCACATGTTCTGTCAATATGTGCAATGGTTAATGAGAAAGCTCGTGGTCGTGTCCCAATATGGCCGGTTAGTTCAACAATTCTATTGATAGATATTTCTGAAAGTTTGTTCAGTTTGTTCTTTTTGCATTATGTAAGTATTTTTTTTGTCTGCAACATTCATAATATGATATGACAAGTATATCCATATTAATAGCAAATATACAGTATGAAGGTACGTAATAAACTAAGTGTGTGTAATACTGCAATACTATCCTTTTGACTGCATATACATATTTTTTTTCGCTGCTGTTTATGGACACAGTTGATTATATTCCTTTTTACCACTATGAGAATTTTTTCCGTATTATTAGTTTCCTTGAATTGAGTTGTCTAATTAGAATAACAATCAAGAATAGAATTAACAATTGAATTTTTATCTGTTGGGGTGGTGGTTAACCCTAAGAAATGAGAACAACTATTAGCTCTATATATCTTCTGTAAATGATAACCAGTTCTAAAAGGTGATCCGGAAGTTAAGCTTATTTGGGATTTTGAATTGTTGATGTGAATCTAAATACATTAGTCCATGTACCGTGTAAAATTCTCGTGTTCGTTATGACTACCGATTTATTTAATCACTATATGGCGAGCAAGTTTTAAATTTAATGCGTTTTAACCGAGAGGTGTCAACATTATAAACATTTTCAGCAGATGTAGATGTGAATGCCAGGTGATTTACACTAAAGATATTATTCATTACAAGTGCTTTTAGCCTTTTGATGAGTGGATGATAAACAATTTTGTCGCATAACTAATACAAGAAATCAATTAAAAAAGTCTTCTAAAAGCTTTATAGTGGCTAGATTAGTTTTTGAAATATCGGCAAAGGAAACGTTTTTCTGAGGCTGAATAAAAGGTCGTAGTTTCCGGAGACTGACAGGCTATTTCACGATATCAGTGTATTATTATGCAGATTTGTGAGAACGAAAGAAATGCTTAACGATCGATAGTCGATGGTTGAGATGATTCAACCCGAGTGATTCGCAAAGAGAAATCAAATGAGTTATAGTATCTCAGACTGAAAACAACTATGAGTGAAAACGGACCCTATTTATAGAGTTTGCAATAACCTTGAAATGCAAGGAATACTTAGTACATTTTACAAGGCAGGAGACAATCAGAAAGTTAGCGGGTTGTTCGAAATATGACCCATGCTTGGGAGAAGAGCGCGAAACAAACCAGTTCAAGCATACAAACTGTAAGTATGGAATATAAGGGATATAGCCATCCCTAACACAGTATTAGGTATTAGGTTATGTTGTTCACAATCAAAATCAATTCACCACCATGTTATTTTCCTGTCTCATTTATCAAGTAATTGGAATGGCAGATAATTGTTGTGTCTCCCACGGAATCGGCTGTCTAATCACTGTTTTTGTACTTGTCCGGTTTTTTTTTGACTTTTGGTTTCATGATATGGTTACATTACTTTACATGGTATTTTTCTCTCAGTAGACATGCTGCACTGATGGTCTGTGTTCGAAGTAAAGATGATTTCATAAAACGTCACAATGTATCATTAGTTGACTAAAAATCGCATTGAACAGTTTTCCGATGTTTTCTTATCTACAGGGGACTATTTACTACGATTGTAGACAGTATCAGCTGATTCCTCTGCAGTACTTGATAAGATGATGGTCAGTTGGAAGGGTGAATGTGACGTAATATGGTCAGATAATTAACGCGCACAAGAACAAAATAATCGAATAACTAATTACAAATGATTTATAACTTTTCAAAACCCAGACTAAGTAGTGATCGAGAAGATTGATGAATGGGTCCCATCCCTTGAATCGTATCACTTATAATTTGGAGTGATCAACGGAGAAACAAAAAAACTGATATGAATACCTCTGGTACCATTATTCATACTAATATTTCCTGTTTGTTATAATTCTATAGGTTAACCATACTCAGTAAGCCAACTTCATTTCAGATGTTAAGCAACCTTTATACTATTTTCGTGACATTGACTTTTCTATTGTCATAACTGGGATTTATAATTTGTACTAACTAGAATTAGAAGTCTTAGACTGATGAAGGAAGGACGTAAATTGTAATTGTTACATGTACGTGCACCCAATCTAGCAATGGCAAGCAGTCTAAGACAGTTCCCATAATAGTTCAATCAACTTCAAAGTAATAAATACATGTCTTTGCGACAACATAGTCATGGTGTTATTATTATTATTATTTTCCCCTTGGGTTCCTAGTGTAACATAGGGCTTCAGTACCACGCCTCCATTTCACTCTCTTCTCTGCAGTCTTTTGGACCTGGCTCCACGACTGTCCACAAGCTTTCATTTTTTCCTCACACCGTTTCTTAAATGTCACTCTCTGACCCCCGACTCGTCGTTTCTCATGCGAGTTCCACTTGAGGACCTAGACTGACGCGAGATATCCACCAGTGGTCTTCTCAGTGTATGCCCAACCCATCTCCACTTCCTCTGCATATTTGTTGAGCGACAGGTTCTTGGTTGGTTCGTCACCAGCCAGAGTTCCTCGTTGCTTATTCTTTCTGGCAATCCATCTGATCTTCAGTAACAAGCCAGTGTAGGCAGTTGTTGATGAATGTCTGTAGTTTGTTGCAAATCCCTTTCGTAACGCGCCAAGTCTCTGAACCACACAGAAACACTGACTTGACTGACATTAGTGTTGAAAACGCGGATGTTGTTCACGCTGTATGCTGAGTGCAGAAGATCTCCACACTGGTTTCAGGTTAATAAAGGCCTATCTTCCTGTCTTTCCGATTCTGACTTTGATATCCTCATCTGTGCCTGTGCCGCCTGTAGTTGAAACGATGCTGCCTGCCGAGGTAGGTGAAGGAGGCTACTTCCTTTAGATTTCTCCCGTTGATGGTGATTGGTGCTTGTTGTTGATGCTGTTGTTTGTTAGGTATCATCATTACCTCTATCTTCTCTACGTTCACCTGAAGGAAGTCCTGTCTTCGCTGTCTGGCCGCTTCTACCAACTTGTTAGTTTTCGCCTGTAGATGTCCGAGTTTCTGCGACACTAGACATTAGACATAAATCATCATCGTTGGCGAAATCCGAATTTTCTAGGGTCTTTTCATCGGTGAGACAGCGTATACCTCTCTTCTCGCTCCTCACAGTTGTCTGTTGCAGGATTCAGTCCAGTCAACTACAATCAGGAAGGTCATCGGTGATAATAGGCAGCAGCTTTGTCTTACTCCGTCCTCTCTTCACTTCAAAGGCGTCATTAAGCTTTCCATTGTGAATCACTTGGTATATAGCGTTGTCATATAGTTGTTGAATGAGTTTGATAAAGGTTTGTGGTACTAAAACCGTAGTGTTGAAGCAGTTTCCAAAGTACTTCTCGACCGATGCTGTCGAAGACCTTTTCAAAATCGATGAAGTTGAGGTTGATTTGAGTTGACTGCCATTCTGTGCTCTGTTCTATGAGGATGCGTACGATAACGTTGCAATTTGGTCCGCACATGATTTGTTCTTCCTGAAGCCAACCAGCCTGTTCCGGTCGTAATTTTGAATGCAGAGCATTTTTTAGTCTCTCCAGGGTCATAGTAGCATAGAACAGGAATAATTGCTGAAAATGCAATGATTCATCCATAACTGATTGACTGACTGATAAAACCAACGTGGAACCTCGCACACATGTTCATCGGCTTAAGTGGCTACACTTCACAGTAGTACACAAGGAACACATAAATAGAAAAAGAGTGATTTCAAGGTAGATAAGTAGTGTGAGAGAATAAACAATCTTAAGATAAAGGTTAATGCGAATATTCAAGCTATAGATGAAGTAAGGGAGTGGATACATCTGCACCAGTGTGGTTGATTTTCAACCATGTCACCAGGAATCCTCAACCACTGATTCCTATCATCTCGGAGATCCCTACAAAGCAGCAGTCTACAACTCCCTGCACGACTCAGACAGACAGTCAGGGACTACATCGACTGCACCACGTCTTAGTCTGGCCACCATAAACCCTCTTCAAACCTAATCCAACTTCTTTCATGATACATGGAGGTAAGCGGTGTCTCGGCATGCTCAGTACATGTCCAAGCCATCTCAATCGACTAAGGTTCACAACCTCATCAATAGACTTGCCTGATGTGACTAGAACCCTTCACTTAACTTCAACATTGCTCAGATAATGATTCCACAAAACTTGAGTAATGCTACAAAGAAAAATGACTTGATCATATTTGCTAGCTAGGCATGTTCACCCATCACAACCTTTCAAACTTCTGTGACACTTGGATGATTGATATCGTCTTCCCATTTGGTTTAGAGATGTGTTTAATTTTTTCCACTGAATTTTCATTTTAACTATCTATCCATCTTTTTTCTGAGATTATCAAGAATCCATCGTTTTTAAAATGATAGTTTCTTCAACCATCACCTTTTTCCCCGAACTGGTTTCTATAGTCAGCTGAAATAGTTGTCCATTAATTCTTTATGGGGGTGTTGCAGGTCAGGGAAAAATTTACTTTCCAGGATCAATCTTTTCTGTTGTCTCCTACTCAAAATATAGGGCCATCATGGATGGGTATATTAGTTGCTCAGCTAACAGAAATTGATGGATTTATCTTCATAGGCCAGTTGGACTATTATCTCAGGGTTATAATGTCTAAAAAATAATAATGTTGTTGAACTGGTACCAGTTTTTTGTGAAACTGTTTATTGACCCAAAAGAAATAACGTTGCCTTTCTAAGTTATGCTTTGTATAGAAGCTAAACTTTAGACCAGTGAATCATGTGTTTCAATACAGACTCATCTAATGAGATTCATGTGGTTATCGCTTGCAAATAGTAGTTATGGCTTGTCTGGCACACGGTTGTGTATGCTGTCTTGAGGTTGTGTTTTACTAGATACTATATTTCTTTTCTTTTGATATCCTAGACCTTTGTAGCAACTGCAGATAAATTCAGTGGACTTATTCAACGTGTACTGCATATTCTGCTTGATGAGTCTTCACAGATACTTGCTGCCAATCCATTGATCAGTGGTGTAACTACAAAATCTTCCGATACTGATCAAGTTAACGCTGATAAAAAACAAAAGTCTGAAGAGTCATTGGATTCAGTTCAACAGAAAAAATGTATCCTGGAACATATAGTCCTTATTATCTTTTTATCACATTGTTTTACAAACCTAGCTGAAGTTGGCGTCCTACGACGTAGTCTTCGTGAATTGTACAGTTTAGCTATATGGCAAGATCATCTTCAACCGGGTCGATTAAGTGTCGAGTTGAAATCACATCCACGATATGCACGTTTACTGAAAAAATTACAAAAATATCGTGATACCAAGATTACTGCTGAGGAAAGAGATAATATGATTTTTCAACATTCATTTATTCCACGAATTTTGGATGTGTTTTTAACTTTATTGAATTCAATACCTGAGAAAGATGAAAATAAGGTTTGCAAGCACTGTTTTTCATCGACTGTTTTCTTTTTGTTAATGATTTAATTACTAATTTTACACATTAATGGTAAGTTGGTCAGTAGGCTGAACGAATGAACACTGTTAACTGAAGGTTATAACCAATAACTGTAATGGTAATTACTTATGCCACTGCATGATTCTCAGTGTTTCTTTCCATGGGAAAAATTTGTTCTTCATGACGGCTTGTAATGTTTATTTTAATATAGGGGTTTGTGGGGATTTATCTATTGATTTCAGGTTGATATTCATTATGGACGGACATCAGTTGGAGAAAAATAGTAAACCTTGTAGCACTGAACAACTGTTTCTATCTAGTATGGATCTCCCTAGCAATGCGTACCTATGGCCTCACCTCGCCAGGGATCAAACCGAGGACCTTCAGGTTCCGCAACCAGTACGTTACCATTGAGCCACTGGGTTGGAATCCACTAGTCCATATTTCCTACTTCTGTCAGCTCACGATATAAGTGGGCATCATTGAGTACATATCTCTATGTTCAACTTGTTTTGCCCCACTGGTCACGACTTCTCTTTAGAACTTCGGGAATGACCTCTCGAAACAACTCACTAATGAGCACCAGAAAGTAATTCAGGTTGAAGGTTTGTAGGGGTTTATTTATTGATTTCAGGTTGATATTCCTTATGGATGGAAGTCAGTTGGAGAAACACTGAAAACCTGGGAGCACTGGACAACTGTTTCGCCCTCGTACGGGACTCTTCGGCAGTCCGCACCCATGACCCTGCCGGAGGTTGAACCCATTTTTCTAGTAGTAATCTAAATATTTAAGAGTTATAAACGAGTATATGTCGAAGTTTTACTTGAAATCTATCTTATTTCTCCACCCACCTCGTTCTCCTTGAGTACTGTAAGACTTCGTTGTTGAATTATATTTGATGTGTGTCATAGATCAATCTCAAGAGCCACAAACGTTGTAGGTAATGATTTGAATAATTTCTATGCATAACAGTTTCATGATAGACAGACATAATTAGCGTAGAACTTAGAACCACTAATCGATTTCGATGGTTGACTTCCTATGAAAACGGATACAAAGTATGTGAACAGATCGCCTACCTATCAGGCAACAATAATATTTACCTCATGTCGAGATATCTGCTGCGCTACCCGGATCGCTCAGTGAAGTATCCATACGTGTTATTAATGAGCTCTGTAAACTTTTAATCTGCTTCCATGATTTCATATTGATTTCTGCAATGAAATATTAATGTTCAACAAGAAATTTGTTTAATCCCACAATGAAATTTCATTCATTCACTCATTCATTACACATTCTTGCTTACTTTTCATATTCTCTAATGCTTCTGTTTCGTGTTTGATTTGAAAAGCCTATAGAACCTTTGCTGATCCACTACTTGGAACGTTTCATTTTATTGTTAATTGATTTGGAAAGCATGCTGCTCACTCGTCGTATTCTCAATGTGGTTCTAGACGATAGGCACGTTGTTGTATATTGTCAAAAGTCTGCTCTCATTAAACGTCCAGATGGGAAATTGTTTTCAGAACTAGTTGATCTGCTTGCATTCTATGCACACTTTCATATCGATGAAAGTACTGGTGAGCCATTAGATGACTCAGAAATGGATAAAAGGTAGGTGTATTATATCTATTTTCTCTTTGAATAATAATGGTCGTTATTATTATCTCTGTTATTATTCATACATTCAGATAATACGACACTGACTCACATGTACACCTACCTGGTTGGAGCGCAGTGACTGCGGTGGTTGATCCAGGACACACGTTTCGCCATATTTGTGACTCGTTAGCTGTATGTACCTGGACCCCAGTGAGTGATGGTGTTCCCACTGGGATTCGAATTCAGCACCCACCACTTCAAGCGCTAAAGCGTCATCATCTAGGCCACTGAGGCATCAGAACCACCTCTTACGAAACGGGTATCACTTGTTACACCATAGATGGCTCTCATGCATCAGTAGCCTAATGGAAAACTCTTTGACACTTTAAGCGATGGGTGCTTTGTTTGGGTCTTAGTAGGGACATCATCACTCACTGGTATGCAAGTGCGTCCAGGCAACGAATGCTAAATGGGACGAAATGCATGTCCTGGATGCCGCTGCTAGCCACAACCAAGTTTATCCATTGTTATTCCCTTTCATTTTATTCTGTTTTCTTTCTATAGGCATTGTGCAAAAATCAGTAATCTACAGTTAAAAACTTTTGCATATCATAAAGATAAACTCCTACCATTTTCTGTTTCACATCCTGCTGGTATTGAAACTGGACAACTATTGCGTAAACATTTGTCAGTTTTGGATAAGGATCAACTCTATCACTTGGCATCTTGTTTTGGTCTAGTTACCCCAAAGAAGAAATTGGATCAAGATGTTGATAAGTCACATGATAATAATTCTGATGGTCAACCACCACCTGAAAAGCGAACTCGTGTAGATGAATGTAACACTATGAATCAGTTTAATCTAGAATCTTTGAGAGATAGACTTGAGTCCAGACTGATGGACAAAGATATGATAATTCGAGTGAGTGCATTAAAGTTATTGAATGTTTTTTTTTGGGCCAAGTTAATAGAGTTCGTCTATCCGTCTAGGAATACTAAGGAATTACATATGCTCAAATGTAAGGTCATTAGTGCTACCCTGTTGAACGAACTATTCCTACACACCTTTGTCAATGAAGTCAATATTCTTTTGTTAGCTGATATTTAAATAGTCACAGTGTGGCATTTTTAATATTTCAATTCTATCTACTTATAACATATTCAATAAAAAGATTGTGAGCTATAAGTTTCAAAGTTATTTGAAAGAGATCATAAATTGTGATCTGCTTAACTTCTAGAATAATGTCAAAAAAGTGATCAAAACTGTACATTATATACTGGATGATGATATCAAGGTGACCTAGATGCCGAATGATTGTTTCATTTTAGGTTGAACAATACAGCGAATGGAAATCGCATAATTGATCATCCATTTGTCTTATTTATGTCTAGTAATCTAGGACTTCTGTTGATTCATTAGATTGTAAGTTGTTTCAGAACCACCTCTAATGATAGGATTATTTGACTTAAAAACAGTATGTCGTTTTCCCAAATTTTGTTGCATACATTTTAGTCAATCAGTTGACCAATAACAATTTAGAACCTAACAGTACCTGTGTAAACGTCCAACTTGCTACATCTCACATTAGCCCATCAGGGCAAAATACACTTCTGTCTGTCTGCATTGTGAAAAAATAGTTCTTCTTAGAGTACCTGAAAAAAGTCCCAGTGCGTGACTGCAGGGCTAATGGGAAATTTACCTAAGGCTGATAACCCACAGCCTTTTTAAAAGTTTGAGATTTTAGTTTGCCTTTTCCAAATCCGACTATAAACCCGTATCGTTAGCACCGGTATGCTGCAGGGTAGAGAGGAGTATGCTATTTTTTAGGACTGACATTCTCATTGAGAAAACAGTATCAGTATGGTACTGCTTGCCATCCGTAGGAAACGCCGTATTGCTTCACACTTTATCCAGCCAGCAATACGACTTCACTCTCAGATCCTGATTACAGTACAGCAACTTACACTATAAAAGTGGCTACACTTTGTATTACTACTATCCAACAGACCTTTATGATTTGGGAAAACCTCGAGGAACAAGCGTTCCAACCAGCGTAGCTCGTTGGGTCATTATGATATGCAAGCCGGACCACAACGTCAGGGTAGCAGTTTTCGGTCGTTAAAATTGATTTCTGCACACTAATAGGCTGAAAAACTCAACATAGATTCTTTAAACTCCTAGGTTCCTACTGTTTCCAAACCCAGCAACAGAACAAAAAGTGAATCATTTGTTCAGAGGCGTTATTCAAAAAATAATCATTTTGCACAAAATGAGTACAAATGTCGAAATAATGAGTATCGTTTATCTTGATGTCCAATGTTTTACGAATCATTGGTCTTCATCTTGATCTAAACCGACAGACAGAATCAACTTAGAACCTCGCACATGAGTGCATTGGTTACAGTCGCTACACATCACAGTAGTATGTAAAGAACAGGTTGGTCCGAACATATGCATATGCAAAAAATAAACTTAGTTTGTATGGTTATGGATGACTTTTATCTATAAAATATTAGTAATTAACATGGGATGGAGGTATCGATGTTATAAAAGTAAGGGGTGGGGGGCAAATTTCGAATAGTCCAAGTGTTTTTCTAGAGTAACTTTAAAGTCCACCTTAGCAACTGTTGAAATGACCAATCAGGCTTCGGTATTTCACTTGGGAAAGTACTTTTCCATAAAATAAAGGGACGCAATTGGCTGTTTCGTCAGTTGTTAGGATGGCCTTCTAAGTCATCCTTTTTTGAAAGTGATCAGCTAAACGTTTCTTATGGTTATTTTGAAAATTCTGCTTAGAATTCTAATGGAAATTTATTTGTTTGCTGAAAAAAAAACTTGCTTTTTAAAATCCTTCTCTACATTTCCTCCTCTTCTTTTTGTCTTTGTGTAGATTTTAATTCATCATTTTGCTCGTCGTCAGTCAGAATTGGAGTACATTAACAGTCTATCACTGTATCCTACTGAAGAATTGATTTGGGATGAGAATCATGTCCCATCAGAATATTATTCTGGTGAAAATTGTTTGGCACTACCGAAATTGAGTTTACAATTCTTAACTTTACAGGATTATTTATTGCGAAACTTTAATTTGTTTCGTTTAGAGTCAACGTATGAAATTCGACAGGTTAGTTGTAGTTATACTACCAGTAATTCCTCTATATATCCGTTTTTAAATACATTTTTATTATGAGACAATATTCAGTTGATATCCCTTCAAAGAATACTGAATCCTTCATCTCTATAGTACACATCACTAACGGGTCTTACAGTCGAGTTATTATCATATTATTTATCCCTTGGGTTCCTAGTGCAACATAGGGCTTCAGTAGCACGTCTCCATTTCACTCTCTTCTCTGCAGTCTTTTGAACCTGGCTCCACGACTGTCCACAAGCTTTCATTTCTTCCTCACACCATCTCCATGTCACCCTTGGCACCGACGCCCAACTCGCCGTTTGCCATCTGGGTTCCACTCAAGTGCCTAGCCTGGCGCGTGATGTTCCCGAATGGTCTTCTCAGTACATGCCCAACCCATCTCCATTTCCTTCTGCATATTTATTGAGCGACAGGTTCTTGGTTGGTTCGTCACTAGCCAGAGTTCCTTGTTGTTCATTCTTTCTGGCAATCCATATAATCTTCAGTAACGAGCCAGCGTAGGCAGTTGTTGATGAATGTCTGTTGTTTGTTGGAAATCCCTTTCGTAACGCGCCAAGTCTCTGAACCACACAGAAGCACTGATTTCACATTGGTGTTGAAAATGCGGATGTTGTTCACGCTTTATGGTGAGTACAGAAGATCTCCACACTGGTTTCAAATTAATGAACGTCTCTCTTGCTTTTCCGATTCTGACTTTGACGTCCTCATCTGTGCCTGTGCCACCTGTAGTTGAAACGATGCTGCCTATGAAGGTAGGTGAAAGAGGCTACTTCCTTTACAGTCGAATGCAAAACCATATTTCATCACTATCAAGTCAACAAAAAAACAAGTAATGCAACTCAGCAAACACCCAGACGTTTTCCGAAAGGTAGTAAGCAGCGTCCATTCTGTAAAGACTAAAGACATCGCTTGACTTGCTAAAGTCTATATTTATACTGGGTGATGATTGAAGGTGAAATGGAAATCTGGACCACGGCTGTGGTCAGTTGGTAGAGCATCGGTCTGGAAACCCGGGGTGGCTAGTTCGAATCCGGCCGCGGTCCAAATCTTCATTTCACCTTCAAACATCACCCGGTAATAAGTACTAGTCTGTTAAACTACGGCTATCTCAGATAGTCAAAATGATAAAACCCTATATTGTTGAAGTGTGATCTGCTATTGGCTATGTGATATTACTAATAAAGCATTGAATGCCACTCGTTATAGCAGATATTACTCAGTTCAATCATAAATTTTTTGTTATAAATTTATAAATAATCTTAGGTTTTGTCCAGTATTTTAGGCGGTCGATTAAACTAACTTTTTACTTCCTCTATCTCTGGGAAATCCGTGAAACAAAATCGACAGTTTCTCGATTAAAAGAGTCATTAGTCCAGTTAAAAAAGTGGAATCAGTGAATTATACCTACATACATCTTAGCCCCAGCAGATCAGAATATAATCTCTTCTAAGATAGGATAAAGAGGAGGACACGAAAAAATGGAACACTATGCCAAGAAAAATACCATTGATCACCGGCTTATGCTTAGTTCCTACGTTACGAACTCCTTGATGAGGTCTTGAGGAAACAAGTAACACTGGTCAGGTGAAGTCACCCCAGTGTGTTGAATATATTCACCTTTTAGTCACTCTAAAATCATTCATATGGTTAACTGCCGGAGTTTCATAGAGGAAACGTTACCGAATGAACGAATTTCAGGGTGTGTCTATGAGTATGTTAAAATAATTCAACTTGGCTTCAGGTTCAGAGCTAAAACATAAGTTTCTTTTATCTCAAAAATGTAAGCAAAAGTGTTATGATACGGAGTTGTGAGAACAAACGAAAATGCTTAACGATTGATAATTGAGGGTTGAGACGATTCAGACCAAGTGATTCGCAAAGAAAAGTCGAAAGACTGGAAATCGGACGAGTTATAGTATCTCGGACTGAAAACGTTTATGAGTGAAAACGAACCCTATTTATAGAGCTTGCAGTAATCTTGAAAGGTAAGGGATAGTTAGTACATTTTACGAAGCAGGAGTCAATCAGAAAGTTAGCGGCTCATACGAAATATGACCCATGCGTGGGAGAAGAGCGCGAAACAAAGTTACACAAACTGTAAGTATGGAATATAAGGGATATAGGCATCCCTAACAAAAAGGTAAAGCGGTTTCGATATTAGTTGGTAGGCGGCAATCGGTAGGAAGCCATGCTTAATCTAGGTCTGGTGCTTGTTGGCATTTGTCAACAAGACGTATCTGCAACCTCGAGGGAACTGATGTCCCTTCGAACCCATGTCACCTAGTGTGTCCTGAAAGAAATATATACCCAAGGTTCCCTACCGATTGCCTTCAATCAACTAACACCTACCGAAGTGCACCACGATAGTGAACCTTCCAGCTTGGTAGCTACATTGCAAAACGATTGATTGAATTCGGTTGCTACTTAGGACTAGACAACATGGAATTGATTGTTCACCAGTGACTAGTCAATACTGTTTTTGTGAAGCTATAAGGTGACTGTCATTGTGAATTTCATTCTCGATGTTCTTCTTCAGCGCTATCATTATTCAAAATGTTTTCTGTCGGCATATATTATGGATAGATATTAAATATTTTCTTTCAAATGAGTTAGCTGAATAACTTGCTTATCAGCCGTTGGGAAAACGAATTGCAATGTGGAACTTAGTAATAAAAAAAGAACCATTCAGACTTCAGAAAACAAATAAAATGAAAATAAACAACAAGAATTTTATGCACTTAATATGATTGGCATCTTTATCTATTATCAACGAGGAAGAACCTAGTATATCACTACTTCAGTTCAAGTTTTAATTTTAAAACAGTTTGATGTATGAGGGATTAACGGACTGACAGACATAATATTGGTAAGGGCAGGGCTTTAATCCATTGATCTGGGCACTTGATTTTTAGCCGATAGGCCACGGGTTCGAACCCCCCACCCCACCAATTCAGGTTCTGATCAGCCAGGTAGTGTAATTTACCCTAAAAAAATAGGTGCGACTTATTGCTGACTGCACGAATGTGCACATGGTTGCTGACTGGAGTTCATTTTTCTGTCCGAGTAATGCTAAGAAGCAACAAAGCATATATATAGTAATGATGGAATGTGGCTAGCAGTGGAATCCAGGATGGGCATTTCATCCCATTCGGGACTTGTTAGCTGAATGTACCTGCCTCCCAGTGAGTGATATTGTTCCCACTGGAATCAAATTCGGGACCGATCGCTTCAGCAATAAAGTATTTATTCCTCACAACAGTGTGTTTGACGTGAATGCATTTAGACCGTTCATACTGAATACTTTGAATCACCTATTAGTGTCACTTCATGGAACCCATTCTGGAAGCTTTAAGTTTCTTCAATAGCTCAAATTAGCCACCTGTGCATCTATGGGCTGATACTGTGTCCTAGTTTAACCGCACCGAAACCCTTTATCACCGTAAAGTAAGACAAGAATAATAAGTATATTTTCCAATGCATCTTATGTCATTGCTTTTTTACTCATTCTCCTAATTTTTAGTCTTTGTTTATGTATTATGTACTGTAATGCATTCCTTGCTGTCTACTTTTCTACTATGGGAAAAACTACACACTGAAGTGTATCATACCTGTACAGACGGGTAATTTTAGTCAAGTATTTCAATATCTAATAGAATCTAGTAGTTTTATTTGGCCTACAGCTGACACCTAAAACTACATGTCTTAGTCTGACTATTGACCACTCTGGACAGCCCCACCACTTGCAAGCGGCGCTTTTAAAGAATTCATGTCATGCATTCTTTAATAAAGAAAGGCACCATACATATATATATATATATATATATATATATATATATATATATATATATATATATATATATATATATCCGCACCATGTCAACTGGAGAATCAATAATCCACTCCGATATTGTCACCCAGACGACAACCACGATCATACTGAGTTCTCCAGTGGCTATCATGATATCCCGGAGAGCATCGAAGGCTCTCATGCAGTGGGAACCAATCTCCTCCAGGATCAGGATCATGACAGCAAGGTTCAACTGGAAAGGAAGGAAGGTCACAATCATACAGTGCTACGCTATGCACCTACAAATATTGCAGATCAAGAGAAGGAGGAGGAATTCTACAGACAACTTCAATCAACACTGGACAAGACATCAGTTGGCGACATCAAAGTTCTAATATGTGGGGTGACATGAATGGCGAACTGGGAGGGGAAAACACAGGAAGAGAACTAACTATGGGTCGAGAAGCGCTCGGTGAGGTTATGAACGAGAATGGAGAATCGTTTGCAGAATTCTGTGCATTCAACGATTTAGTGATTGGAGGTAGTGTGTTCAAGCACAAGGATATCCACAAAGCTAGCGACATGGATTTCACTAAACACCAGGACTCACTGCACTAAAAATCAGATCGACTTCATCTGAATGTGAAGAAAGTGGAGACGCAGTCAGCCTACTTGACACAAGGTGAAGAAGAGGAGCAGATTTGGGCTCAGACCACTCACTACCTAGTGCAAGGAACCTTCCAAATCAAGTTGAAAGCCTTCAAGGAAGCTGGTGATAGACCGCAGTTGAAGTGCAACACCCAGAAGAGAAACTGAAGGATAAAACTACAAAGGAGATCTTCACGGCAGCCAGGCATCAAGACAAAATGGGAGATATCGATGAACATCCGTGAAGAAACCTGTGTGGAAGAACACTGGAAGTCTTTGGAAGCTATGTGGAAAGAGACCTGCACAGTCGTATTAGGAAGGAAGAAGAAAGAAGATAAAGAGTGGATCTCGATGGACACATGGGAGGTGATAGAGGAGGGAGAGGAGGATGGTGAAGCAGAAGATAAACCAGTGCAGTGCAAGGATGCTCAACGACAAGAGGAACTGAGCACAATGTATAAAACAGTACAGTGGACAAAGAAGTGAAGAAGAATGCACGGAGAGACAAAAGATACTTCTACGACACACTGGCAAGTGAAGCAGAACAGGCTGCAGGTAGGAGAGACACAGACCTGACAACATTGTATCAAACAACCAGGTAGCTATCTGGGATGGAAGAGATCAACGCAGATGAAACCAATGAAAGATGATGACGGATATTTAACTACGAAAGAAGAGAAAGAAAGGATACGATGGGCTGACCACTTCAAGAAGCTGTTGAATCGACCACCACCTGCACTTCGTCCAGAAATACCACCAGCAGTCCAGCCGCTGAACTACAAGTGAACATAAATCCTCCAACAAAAATGGAAGTTATGAACACCATAAAGCTATTGAAATGTGGGAAAGCAGCAGGACCAGATGGGATCCCACCAGAAGCACTGAGAACAGACGCAGCGGACATGCACACACTACACCACTACTGCAGGAGGTGTGGAAGGAAGAGAAGGTACCTGGCTAGTGATTGGAAGAAGGGTTACCTTGTCAAACTGCCGAAGAGAGGAGACCACAGTGTTTGCAAGAACTGGCGCGGAATCTCTCTCCTGTCCACACAGAGCAAGCAAAATATTAAGCCGTATCATCCTGGAGAGACTAAAGGGATGCATTGGATTCAAAACTACGACCGGAACACGTTGGCTTGTTTGCTTGAGGAAGTACAAATCATGTGGGGACCAAATAGCAATGCTTCACATGATCATAGAACAGAGTATAGAATGGCAGTCAGCTCAACCCTACCTAAACTTCATCGGCTTTGAGAAGGCCTTGACAGCGTCGACCGAGAGGTAATTTGGAAACTGCTTCAATGCTACGCAATACTGCAAACCATTATCAGCCTCATCCAATAAATATATGAAGACGCCACATGCCAAGTTATTCACAGTGGGAAGCTCAGTGATGCTTTTGAAGTGAAGTGAAGACAGAAGTGAAACAAGACTGCCTACTATCACCCATGATGTTCGTGATTGTGGTTGACTAGATCATGCAACAAACAGTGGGGAGCGAGAAGAGGGGGATACGCTGGCTGGACAGGGGAAAAGAACCTAGAAGACTTGGATTTCGCCGTTGATGACTAGTGTCTGATGTTGCACAAACTTGAAGATGTACAGGCGAAAACTAACAAGTTTGCGGAAGAGGTAGGGCAGGGCAGCGAAGACGGGACTTCAAGTGAATATAGAGAAGATAGAGGTGATGAAGACACCGCACCAACAACAACAAGCTACTATCAACATCAACGGGAGAAACTTAAAGTAAGTAACCTCCTTCACGTATCTGGGCAGCACTGTTTCAACTACAGGCGGCGGTGGCACAGACGAGGATGTCAAAACCCGCCAGGATCGGAAAAGCAAGACAGGTGGTCATTAGCCTGAAACCAGTGTGAAGATCTTCTGCACTGAGCATAAAGTGTGAACAACATCCTCATTTTCAACACTAATGTCAGTCAAGTCAGTGTTTCTGTATGGTTGAGAGACTTGGCGCGTTACGAAAGGGATTTCCAACAAACAACAGACATCCATCAACAACTGCCTACACTGGCTTGTTACTGAAGATCAGATGGATTGCCAGAAAGAATAAGCAACAAGGAACTCTGGCTGGTGACGAACTAACGAAGAACCCATCGGTCAACAAATATGCTGAGGAAGGAAGTGGAGATGGATTGGGCATAGAGTGAGAAGGCCGACTGGGGACATCACATGTCAGGCCAGTCGCTCAAGTGGAAGCCAGATGGGATATAGATTATATATATATATATATAATATATATATATATATATATATATATATATATATATATATATATATATATATATATATATATATATATATTCATGACAGTATCAAAAATCATGGCTTTGTAATCAACCTATGCTCTCTCCGGGTTTCAAGTTTGCAAGAAGTATATTATACGGTACTCATTTTCCCGATATTTTTTAGAGTAATACTTTTTTTTAATGAAAAATGTCTTTTTGGTTCACCTGTAGTCTGTTTTTTATCAAAGTTCAAGGGTCTTTTAATGCTTATTATTAATTACGCGTGTATCTACTGCACTTTTGACACGTTTTTCTTGTGTGTAGGATATTGAAGATGCTATTGTCCGGTTGAAAGCATGGCGTGGGGAATTTGGTCAAGCTGTTTTCGATGGTTGGTCAAGAATGGCTTTACCAATACAAGCATTCAATATTGTTGAAGTAGCCAAGCCAGATTTGGGTTCCAAGCATCCAGCACGTGTACGTGCTGACGTCCGTGTAGCTCTTGCCGGCCTTCGTCCAGAGATTCGTAAAGAATGGCTTGGTTTACGACGACACGATCCAGTTTTCTTAGTTACCATAAGGCCAACTCAACCACAAGGATGGAAGTAAGTATCTTTATTTTATCATGGCACCCGTGTACTGATTGATGTAGTCTTTATGGGTTGTGGTGTAACATGAGACTCAAGTCTAACCGTATCGTCGTCTTTGTTTACTCATGATTCCCTTCTGGTTTCTGTTGTATCTTGATTAGGATGCAAAATGCTTTGAGGTGTTTGACCTAAATATCTTCGAAGCAGGTGTTAGGTTCCCTATGAAGGTGTCTTCATGGAATAAATCAGCAACCCAAAGCTGTAACAAAGATAATAGTCATATCACTAACTATGTACAGGTCTTTGTACTGACTCATAAGCCACATCTGTTGTGTTAGACATCATACAGCTATGTGTGTACCAGAACTTTGGTTCCAACTGTTAAACCAACAGTTGGAAGTTGAGTGCCTAATCCAGTTAACTACGCCTCCACAATACCTATCCGGATTCGGCTCCGAAGTTGACTATGGCGAAACATGTGTGTATGCACTGAATCTTAAACATTTGTTTAGTGTTTACCTGTATATCCTCTGTTTTCTCATTCTCTTTTTCTAGTTCTTTTTCTCTTAGTATTCCAGCCTTAAAATCTTGAAAATGAATTCCTCTATGTGTTAGTTACTACACTGTCTTTCCTTATCAGTTTTCTAAACTAATCCTGATCGTATTTTGTGAATACATGATTCGAGTCTAACACTGTTCATGTTTCAAAAAGCTATTTTCACAATAGCCTCATTGTTACTGAACTGGTTTATTATTATTCCGTTCTGACTGTTGCAAAGATCAGCGACAGTCCATTACAGCATAATGCGGACTATTGCTCACAATCTGAGCAGACTGACCAATTGAGTATGTTAGAAGATAAAAAAGCTTTCTTGAACATTAGGATAGACATTCATCAACAACTGCCTACACTGGCTCGTTACTGAAGATCAGATGGATTGCCAGAAAGAATAAGCAACAAGGAACTCTGGCTGGTGACAAACCAACCAAGAACCCACCGGTCAACAAATATGCTGAGGAAGGAAGTGGAGATGGATTGGACATACACTGAGAAGACCGACTGGGGACATCACGTGTCATGCCAGTCGCTCAAGTGGAAGCCAGATGGGAAACGAGGAGTTTGGCGTGGGTGTCTAGGGTGACATGGAGGAGATCGTGCGAGGAGGAAATGGGAGCTTGTGGGCTGTTGTGGAGCGAGGTTCAAAAGATTTCAGAGAACAGAGTGCATTGGAGACGTGCTACTGAAGCCCTATGTTGCACTAGGAACCCAAGGGATAAATAATAATAATAATAATATTGGTGAAATGGTTAAGTGAGACTAGGGGTCTAGAATTTTCAAGGTTTATTAAAGATCAATAAGGTTGAAGTCTGGATCTCTAAAATTGCCTACTGATCATTCTTACACTTTTTGCTGTTTTGTTTACTTTCAAAGTGATTATATTATTGTGAATATTCATCTATTGATACTTTTTTCTCTTGTATCACTAATTTAGATTTAACTTCAATGAACCATTTGCTCCACAAGTTGGTCTACATTATGTTCGTGGTTGTGAAATTGAAGGTCAAGTTGATAAAGAAGGCAAACTGGTACCAGATGAAGAACGCTTAGGCTTTTTACCATTGAAAGGTAACTATTTCCAATTGTTTGATGAATAAAGTTCCCTTTATTTTGATGCATACATTTATGATCCGTTGGTGATAAAGCTTGTTTCTACTTCCTTTATTCAAAGTGAATAGACGTAAATTATCAGCCGCCAAACAGTATCTTTAGTAGTACAAAAGCCGTTTATCGGTATTAGTTGCTTTGCATCAAAATAGTCTAGCCTAATAATTTTGAAACTTACATCACCATAAATGGGAGACCATTTTTCAGGTTCCATTATATGTATATATACATGAATTGACTTTTCACATTTTGCAAATGATTTACTAATTTCATGATCCATGCTAACATTTCTCACAGCTGAGTAGTTTTTCACTTGCCCAACAATAGTGTCAACCAGGTTTCCTCTGGAAACCATTCAGCTCAGATCATAAGGTGTGGTCTCCGAAAGATACTACTACTGACCAATTTGAGTAGTTAGAGGCCACTCAGGTTGGTCTGTAGCATTTCGCTAACCAGATCATAGTGATCTGACACTTTTGTGTCAGAGATCACACCTTGTAATCTCGGTTTAATGGTTTCCATAGATGGGCAGTTGAAAAACTACTCAACGGGAATCATTCAATTTATAAGTCTTTCGTAATTTCATCCCTCTAGTTTAGGTGTACCGGTCTATCGCAAGTCAGCTAGCTAGAGTTAGGCGGTTTGAGCTAATTACACCTTATGAGTTCAATTTGTCTGGGTACATCGCTGATAAGCTCGGCCTCAAACGAGCGAAATACCTGTCCGGTGTCCGGCGAAATATTACAGATCACCTTGAATGGTTGCTATCTACTCAAGTTGGTCAATAACAGTATCTTCCGACACTTTATATTGTTTTGTGCACTATTCAAAAGGCATTAGGACCATAGAATAATTTGGATTTCTCGAGAAATAGAAGTAGAAACTTGAATTCAAGCTTAAAATCCGAAACAATCGTGACTTTTTATTTTTCCAAGTTAAAATTATGTTCCAGCGCACCGTAATAATTAAAAATCATTTTAAGTCATACACTGTAACACTATTTACCACGCCATGACAGCCATTGTTGTAGAACAGCTAGATTGGATTGAATTATTCTTGTAACATATGATTTGATCAGAAATTATATTCGCTCCATGTGTTTGTCATCTTTAAACGTGTTCAGTATAGGCTGATCAATTAAGCTAATGATCCTCCACCAGGAATATTTATATCATGCTAAAAATTGTAGTCTTAAACTTGACTTTCTGATAGGTATCATATCCAGTCTCGTGTACTTTTCATCTCTAAAGGACTGGTCTGTTTCTTCGACACCCGGTGAAATGAATAGTTATTGACGTAGTTAATTGCTTGAAAGGAAACCAGCTTGCATCACCTATATTCTCACCGGATAACAGGCATAATCATCAAGAATTACTTCTATAATGCGTTTTCATTGTCGAAGATGAAGAATGTTGTCTCTGTCATCCTAACTTGGTACTGATGTAAAGGAGTTTATGAGTTATTTTACTCTCACTAAAGACTAACTCGTTATGGTTTCTTGATGCTGTCACGATTACGTTTAATAGTACTATTTTGGGCTTCTCAAGTCGATGCTTATTTTTTATGCGCTTTCGATGTATGAAGATTTAAACCGAAAGCATTGCTTTTTCCTTACTTACTAACCTATTTGCTTACGTTAGATTCAGGTGTTGGTAGGTTATATTGACAAGTCATGGTGAGGCTGTGGTTGATTCACTTGAACACTAGATTTTAAAGGGCTAGGATTCCATTACACGTTCTACCTGGGTCCTCACACATTTCTTACAACTCATAGCTTGGGATACAAACCTGTACGCAAATTAACCGATGTATCTACCAAGTTTTCACTCAGAACTGGTGAAATTCTATCAAACAACACCATTCGCATTTAACATCAACATAGAGTGATTGAATTTCCACACTGCTAAGCGCCAATTGACCATATTCCCAAATTGTTTCTGGTGACTGACCGGTGTGATCAGGTCTCTGACTTGAGTATTGAAGAACGTGGATTTTAACCTTCAAGGAAACATGAATTTTATTTAAGATTGCTGATAACTAGTTACAAACAGAAAACCAAGGTTTAGAGTGTCTTCCAGACTGACTCCTAATGTATAACACAAGCTTCTATCGAGATGTTGCCACCAATGTTAAGTTCTGTCGACAATCTATTTGAATGAATGATCAGTTTTCTGTAGTTTCTAAGCCTAGATAAGTTTTTTCACTCACATGTATTAAGATTTTAAAGGTTGAAGAATAATTCAGGGTTAATAGAGAAGGAAATAGCAACATGTTATGAAGTTTTATTTTACAATAGATTTAGATAGTAGTTAGCTAAATTACAGTATTATCCGGTTACTTCTATCTTAAGTTTTTCTTATGTATTATGATGTACAAAATCCCTAACCTAACGGGATATGTTCTGTTTCGCTTTATCCCTTTCTACTCATTAAATATTTAGGTGAAAAGCCAAGTTTAGTTGAAACTCTGCCAACATGGCGTGTACGCTTAGATCCTGTACAATATCAAGTTGATTTAGACCGTTTAAAAGCTGAACAAAAGCGTGGTGAAGTAATACGATCTAAAGTGATTCGAGCGAAACGTGAAGGACGTACAGCTGAAGAGATTCAAGTGTTGCAAGCTCAAGCAGAAGAAGCTGATCAATCAGCACCGGAAGACTTATACGATACATTCAATGTTTTAATTAGACGAAAACCGAAAGAAAATAATTTTAAAGCTGTACTAGAAACAATAAGGTTTGTCTACTCTCTTACTTATTTAACCATTTCTATCGAATGTGCACCTTTGATTGTGGTACAGATATGTGATTTCATGATTAACTGAACTGCTCACACTGAAGGAGGAACATCTGTAACTAAATGACATGCGGTCACAAACCCTTCTTTCTGTTCGTTCAATATATATATGCATGTGAATTGATAGATGCTGTTGAAGAAAACATGAAGAGGGGATTTATCAACCTTTGATTGTCTCAGGGAATAACTCGTTCGGTAGATTGCGATCAGCCTAGAGGTTGGATAAGTCTTTTTTAAAGGAAGTGTTTACTCTGTAATTAATTCTACCGGAAACATCATCACCTTTGAAACCAAGAGTTAGAAAAACAATCATCTCGATTGTGTCACATGGTTTTAGTCGACGCATTCTAATGGTTACTGATGAATTTCTGTGAATATATGTTATCATGGAGGCAATTTTCCATAATATTAATTTCCTCTTCTAATGTCTCTTCCGAACAAAGACGTCTTACGCGAGTGAAGAATGTTTTCACCAACCCTTTTTTCTGACTAATTGGGCAAAAGCTGCTGAAGTTACGATACATTCCACTCCAAGAATCTTTACGATCAATACTTTGAAGTATGTTACCATCGATAGTTCATTGAATTCCGAGGTCAAGGAAGTGAAATTTATCATCTTGTTCATATTCCATTGTCATTTCTATGTTATGGTGTTCTTTGTTGAGTAGATTAAGCAAATATGAGGCATGTTTCAAGTTGGTCCAAACAAAGAATGTATCATCAGTATACCTACTGTAAAAGGCTATCGCATCGATTACCTACTTCGTACTCGTACGTTCAAGGTTCCCCATAAAGATATTATCAGCTAGTATGAGATCCAAGGGACTGCCTATCACAACTTCAATTTGACCATACATGACGTTATCGAATTTGAATTGTACACATTCTTGGTGCTTAAATTCGTCTTTGGGTAGAGACACAAGATCAGAATGCTGACATATGATTTCTACAGTTTCTTCTAAAAGTGTCCTTGTAAACAGTGAAGATATATCAAAGGACACCATGAACTTATCAGAAATATCCAAATCTTCCAGTTTCCGAGCAAATTCGAAGCTATTTTTCAAGCCAACTTTTCATGAATTGGCTTCAACTGTTCTGCTAACCATCAAACGAATTTTTGGAATGATGACTTCACCATAGACAAAATAGGTCTCATCGGGATACTAGGTTTATGTAACTTTTGCAAGGCATATAGATAGGGCCGGCGAGATCGTCATAGTTTGAGTTTATTATAGACCGAGTTATTGATCAAATTCGTAACTTCCTTTTAATCCGCTTTTCTGTAGCCTCAGTCAATATCTTTGTTGGAACTGTCAGCAAGTATATTTGTTTTTTTTTACAAACATGAAAATGCGCTAGTTCAGAATGAAATAACGTATTCTGATTGGCTCTATGACGCATGGAATTATCCAATAAGGTCTATCCTGACTGCACAGCAGTATTGATCGAAAATGAGAACTTAAAACTTTTTGCCTCCTCTATATGGGCCTTAAAATGTTGAATTCCATTCTTTCCCGCTTCCCATTGTTGGAAGTGTTTACACGTGTCAATTTAGTTGGCATCGCAGTGTAGAACTACCGATGAATCTACTAACTGTTATACAGCAGTCATACTAACAGACAGACACCATATCAACATAGGACCTGAGTAGTATTCCAAGTTGCCACACCTCATATCGGCATACCAATCGAGAATCCACTGAAATGAAAAAAAGAAACAGAGAAGAAATTAGTTAAAGTGGTGGAAAGTTGTGATAAGATAACACAAAGGATACTGAATTCAGTATGACAATTTAGATGAGAATAATATGTAGGTACATCTGCACCAGGGAGACCGATACTGAATTATGTCACCTAGAGTCTCCGTTTCCCTACACGGCTCAGACCAATAGTCGAAGAACTCAGGGACTGATGCCATGTTTTAGTCTTGCCGTCCTCAACATAAACCTGCTTGAGCTTACATTGTGCAACAAGACAGACGCAGGTCAGGCATGCATAACACATGTGCCAACCAGCTGGATCGATTAGGGTTCATAACCTCATCAACTGACTTTCTTCTCCACCTGACTTCTACGTTACTGATTTGGTGACACCCTGATATACGACCTATACCACAAAGGTAACAGTGGTCGAACACCTGAAACTTTCTCATGTCATCTACCGTTAATGTCCGTGTTTCACAGCCATAAAAGTAGAACAGAGCGAACTGAAGTGCAGTACACTCGATCCTTAATAGACAGTCAGGTATCATGGCGGTATCATAAATGACGAAAGCCGAACAAGCCTTTTGTATCCATGCAGAGATTTCATCAATCACTGACCAGCGCAATAGGGTTGATCTGACTTCCAAGGTAAGTGAAGTGGCCAACGCACTCAACCATTTTACTCCCCCCTGTGTCGATAGATGGACTCTTGTGCAGATGCCTCAATACTGTATGGATATTCATTATATTGCAGTCTACTCGGTGGCTAGCAGTGCAATCCAGCACGGGCGTTTCGTCCTATTGCAGACTCATCAGGCAGAATGACAATGGGGAATGGAAAGTGCCAAAAAATAACAACTGATACTCGTGCTGCAGTAGCCTAGTGGATAACGCTTTGGCGTTTGCATCCATGGATACTGGGTTCAATTCTCAGTGAGAATAGCATCACTCACTGGGGTTCAGGTACACTCAGCTGACGTGTTTTAAATATGACGAAACGCACCTCCTGGATTTCACTGCTAGCGGACAAATAGACTATCACACTTTTTGTCGTCGGAAAACTCTAGTCTTCTTATACTGTCCATCTTCGATGACCATTTTGCATTCGTAAAACAGAATGTGGTGTAATACATTTTTAATTTTATTACTTTCCTTCCACATCAGAAACTCGATGAATCCCTGAGTAAGCAGAATAGTTCGATGCCTTTTTCTTATATTTTTCAATAATCATATTGAGTATCGTCTATGCAATCACCTTCCTTGTTTATGTTGTAATGGTTATATTTTCTACTGTTTTGATATCTTTAACTTCTCAAGGGATCTTATGAATATTCGATCTGTGGTACCGGAATGGTTATTAGATTTGTTGATGGGTTATTTAGATCCTGCTGCTGCACATTATACACACCGTCCAGAAGTTTATGAACCAAAACAAAACTGGTTCGATACATTTTTATCTCCAGACCATTTGAGGAAATCACTATCCCAGTATAACGTACAGTTTAAAGATAAACGTCAAAGCCGAAAATGGAAATCTAACAGTCAAAATGAAAACTCTGAAATGACTGGTACGTTTTTTTTTGTCTTATCATCCAGAAGGTAAACAGGTATCAAAGTTTAGTTATGGTAACTTCTTCAAATCACTAGCAAACTAAAGCAGTTAAACATTTATCGATACTATGAATTGCCAGCGGTCTGGATAAAGTTCACTGAGACTGATTTCTTCTTAACTTAGCGGGGATTCTAAAAAGACAAACTCAGAACTATTATTGATGAAAGCTCTCCTTATATCTTGCTTTCATTTTGTAATTCTTCCTTCTGTACCATGTTTACTTCAGACAATGCAACTTATATGTTTTAGGTAGCCATGAAGAACTAATGTGCATTTTTGTGAATTCATTTCTGTCTTACCAGACTATTACTAGGGATATTTTGGAACTTATTGAAGGAAATCCAGCTGAAACTCAACTTCAGTACAGGTGTTGATCCACTAAGCCATGAGTCACATTGTTTATGTTACGGCTTTTGCGACTACCTGGTTGGTTACCCAGACTGAAGTAGGCCGAGCGGATGATGAACCTGGAACCCAATGAGCCATATATGATAAAAATATCATTATTACCATCGTTATTATTGTTACTGTCACTATTATTACCAACAGATGCTAACTCCGATGCAACTATCCTTCATCCGACGACGCCACGTCATACACTGACCACCCCTCTGTTTCTTCCATCCATTCCCAGGTCTAGCAAACAATGAACTGTATGTATGGAAGCCGTTGAAACGACATGCGTAACGTATGTCCAAGCCACGGAAGCTGGTGTTTCCAGATGACTTTACTAATGAAATGACGATCTCCATTATACCCAAACACACGCTGTTGTACCTCAGAATTACTCATATGATGTTGCCACCGGATACCAGCAATCCTACGGTGACAACGATGATCGAACTCACAAAGTTATCCCACATCTTCAGGTTAAAGAGGCCAGGATTCTCAGGCGCAGAGCAGAACTGCTCGCACCGAAGCGTTGTAAACTCGACCGTTTACGGTCAGACCTACGTCCTGACGGCGCCAAAAGTAGCCCAGATTGTCGTATGCCATTCTGGCTTTCGATATTCGGTTAGAAATTTCATCACTCACATTTCCACCAACACTTACGCAACTACCCAGATACACAAACTTTTTGTTTATAGAGCAGTTCAACTGTGTATTATATTTTGTCAAGGATGCTACGTGGAGAGGCTCATCAGCATTTAATTTACCGTAGAAAGTATAATTCTCTAAACTATGCCCTTGCCTCTTAAGGATAGGCAGTTTGTAACTTTTAAGTCTCATGGCTGACATCCACATTTTTCAAAACTAGGTGGTTTTTCAATTACCCAGTTATTGATGTTAACAGGGTTTCCGGAGGAAGCCACCTGACCAAAATTAAAAGTTCTGATCTCGAATTTCTTTAGTGTATCGAAAACTGTTTAATTGTTACTCCGTAAATCTTGCTAGCGAAACCTACCATTCTCTATTCAAATACTTATGTTGTTTTGTAGTTAGTTTGTCAGTCTTTGGATGTTGGAGGAGATTATGGAAAAGTGTTGCTGCAGTTCTCCTTTCAAATCAGTATACCAACTCATGTTGCTCTAACGTAACTTTTAAACTATTTGCAGATTCATGTCCGTACATATTCTTCATTGAAAGTTGTGCTTCAGAACTGTAGAAAAATAGTTTCTTTTACATGATACGCTTCATTTCTTTTCGTCAAACAGTGCTAGTTTAAGAAATGTTATGGTATTGAAGTCTGATTGTCATATATCAGATTACACTTGAAGGCCACCTTCTTCCCCTTTGAGTGATGGATAGTATCGTTGATAATATATACATATAGGGTAATTATGTGTAACCATTTATTCTAGTCGTTTTTCATATTCGACCGAAGTTATAAAATGGCATCATCACTTGAGATAACGATTTTTAATGATCACTAATTTAAGTATAATTGCTTGTATTATACCGTCGTTGATTGGACCGAATTGATGAGTCTCTATTGACATATGGGCTCCTGTGCGGATGCCTCGACATTGCCTGTTTTAATTATATGTAGTAATGATAGGTAGTGGCTGGCAGTGGAATCCAGGATGCGCATTTCGTCCGACTTGGGACTCGTCAGCTGGGTGTACCTGCTTCTCAGTGAGTGATGTTGTTCCCGCCGGGATTCTGACTCGGGACCGATTGTTCCAAACGTCAGAGCGTTATCCACTACACCACATCCCGGTGGGAACGACATCACTTACTGGGAAGCAGGTACACCCAGCTGACGAGACCCAAGTAGGAAGAAATGCGCATCCTGGATTCCACTGCTAGCCACTATCCATCATTACTATATATGGTCACTAGTTTGTCGTAAAACTTATTATATGTTTCACTATTACTCTCAAATAGGTCCCACAGACCCACCAGGACCACCTTATCGACTTATTTTCCCAAAATTGGAAGATGATCCAACTGCAAAAGTTGAAGCAGTGATCCCGGCGGATATGATCATACCGAATCCTTCAGGTGACGACAGCGAACCAAATACTTCTAATAATCCATCGAAAAATGATGAGAAACCGTGCTTGATCGTTGAAGCTTACGATCCTCCTCTTCATCCACCCTGGAATATACTTGCTCAAGCTGGAGGTCATTTGCCCAACAGTTTTTCATTCATCGGATCCAAGCTTGGTAATCGAGTACCTTTCACATCGGCACAAGTGGAAGCTATTCGTTCTGGTATGCAATGTGGCTTGACTTTGGTAGTTGGCCCACCTGGCACTGGGAAAACAGATGTAGCTGTACAAATTATTCATAATTTGTATCATAATTATCCAAATCAACGGTAATTGTTTGAGTGTATGCATGCTTCTTCTTTATTCTGGAGACTTTCCTGTTGATTTATAGTAATTTTCTGCTATTACACGCTTTCTAGCGTAGGATAGCTTTCTATATCATTACTAACAGTATGCAAATAAGTATAAAGGCTGTGAAACTTTAAATGTTAGTGTTAAGCAGTCACACCTATACAACTCTATATTTGATAAGATAAATTCAACCGCATCATATTGCATATGCGATCGTTTTCTCTAAGCCATAACCTGCATGCATTTTGTGGAGGCTATCTAGCAAACCCCTATGGCACAAAATATAAATTAGGGTTCGGATCTTGTACATACTAACTGAAAAGCATAATTGCACAGTTAGTAATTACATGTGGGTGTATTCAGTGAACTGATCCATATTTTTCATCTGTATATGGTGTGCATTAAAAAGATTTCTAATAAACTCATGTACTCACCAGAATTCGAACTTAAGTCATGTTATTATATTACTCAGCATTAATGATACAACTAAAAACATTATTCATGAGCTAGTCAAGCGACCGTTTCATATTCATATTCATACGAGATTTCAGCAATTGAAGGTTCTTTTTAGGAAATCTTTGATAAGAATGATGAGTTTAGGGAAGATAATGATCATGGAATGAAATTTATTTACTTCTCTTGGCTTACATACATATATAGTCTAGAAATTTGCACAAAAGTAGATTTTGTGATTTTGCTATCCTGACGATACTCTACTAAGGTTAAATTTTACCAGCACTTTTAATATGATTTTGTGTTGGTATTCATCAGTTGGAAAAACACTGGACAGCCGTTTCGTTCTAGTATTTGACTCCTCAACAGTGTTCACACATGACTCCTCCAGGGGTCGGTGAGGTAATCCAAGTTAAACATGAAGGTAGTTACTCAACGATGGCATTGAGTGGAGGTTGTACTATATCGTAAACCGACAAAAGTAGGAAATGTGGACCATTCGATCCCGACCTAGTGGCTCAATGGTAATGTACTGACCGCGGAACATGAGAGTCTTGGATTCGAGCCTTGATGGGGTCATGGATGTGCACTACGGAGAAGTTTCATATTAGGATGAAACAGCTGTCTGTTGCTGTCAAGTTTCCATTGTCTCTCTAACTGATGTCAGTTCATGATCAATACCAACCTGAAATGAAGAAATAAATCCCTACGAACCTCCAAATGGGCTTTCAAATTGCCTTACAAATTGTAGTACTTGTTGAAATCAATGATTTCAATTTTCAGGAACCAAATAAGGGCTGTTCATGATAGCATTTAAATGATGCATGAAATACTTTAGCCTGCACCACGGATAAAAATAGCCAACTGTTAAAGGTGTATGTTTCTAATGACTTCCCCATTGTTCCCCATTGGACTATTAAGTAGTAATATCGTTTATAAAAAAGTAATGTACGCCCGATAGAAATGTGGACAATAAACTATGTCCGAAACGTCGTTTTCCAGTTTCACTCCCTGATACATCTAACAAACATTAAAATGGTAGTAGTGTATTGTGTTTGTATACCAGCTGTGTTCAGCGGATATATATTCATCAGGAGGGGATAAGAACGCTTAAACGCGAAATGATACTAACTGAACGTGGAAACAAACCGTGGATTGCAAATATGCTGATCTGAATCAGAAGAGTATATTGCGGATGAAGACCACCCATCTTCCGAGCTAGAAATAATCAGTGATTCAGTCTAAGACTTCTCGGAAGTACACAGTTAACTTATTTCCTACATTCCGTGTATCTGTAAAATTAAAAGTATCTTCACCATTTTGTAATTCACCATCCAGAAATGCATAATCTACAGTTCTCAGTCTTTCTCAAGATTAAAGAAATCTGTTAATTGGTACTGTTGTTTTTGACTATATATTCAAGTAATTTATTCATATGGATAGTATTACTTGCTTCACATAGGGATAATGCTTATGTGTTTATGTAAGCAAAAGTAATGTGTTCAAGGTTATAGGATTTTTAAAGTATTCTCATTTGTTGCTGTTCAACCACCGTCAATAATTCCTTACTAAATTTTAAACATTTCAATGAGCCTGATTGGTTTAAATGCCCAACCGTTTAATACTGGATAGCGGGTTCCGATTTCTGGATAGCATTGTTAGCTTAGTGCACCGAAGTAGAGTTATGAGGACGAACGATAGTAATTAGCGATTCATAGTCGAGAGTTGATACAGTTCAACGTAAGGGATTCTCAGATGTAAATCAAGACTAGTAACCAGCTGAGCTTATACTATCTGGAACTGAATGCGTTTATTAGTAGAAACGGACCGTTTTTATAGAGTGTATAGTAACCTTGAAAGATAAGCAACTAGCATATTCAAAGAGACATGAGCCAGTCGGAAAGCTAGTGGGTTATACAAAATATTACCGACGTGCGAGAAAAAAGGTGTGAAGAAATACAATTCGAAATTTACAGATCCTAAAAATGAGATATAAGGAACATAGGGATCCCTAACACTTTCATACAACAAATATATGAGGTTGTAAGTTGTTTTATCTGTCTGTATGTACGATGAGTAATGATTAAGTTAATCCATCTATGATGCACTTATGCATCCAACACCTCTGCTTTTCTTCTCTTCACTGTCCACAGACTATTCAGGTGGGCATTAGGTGAATTTGAACCGTAGAATTTTCGGAAAATTCTAAGTATAGTCGAATTTTTATCCTATCCTGTATACGGGCGATGGATAATAGAAACCAGTAACGGAACTATGAACAAAAGTACTAAAATGTAAGATCAGAGAAAAAGGAAATGATTGGGATGGAATGATAAAATATACAATATTTGAGGAAGATAAACAGTAAGTGTATGTATGAACTCATATTATTCTGTCTAGTCGGAGGAATCGTTGTGATAACCGAAGCTAGTGGCTGGCTGGAACGCTTATCTTGTCCAGGTCCTACGATGCCAAAAAGGTCTGTTAGACAGCGGTTAGACAAAAAGCAGTTACCGTTGTAGTGTAAATTGTTACACAATGATGAGGCTCTGAGGTTGAATTCGTACTGTTGGCTGGCTGGGGTGTGATAGCAGTGAGGTGTTTTACTGTAGTACCACATTGATACTATCTTCCCTACTAAAGTGGGGTTAGAAAAGGTCATCCCCCTAAATAGCACACTTCTCTCTGCCTCATAGTCTTCCGGTTACGGCGGTATATGTTCCCTCTATCTGGCATTAGAACAGCAACTCGTGAAAGGCCGTGGGTGACACGCCTCAAGCAGATATCCCATTCACCCTGTGGTCACACAAATATTTTCTCATTCAGGTACCCTAAGAAGAAATAAGTTTTCACGGTGTTGGCAGTTGAGAAGTGTCGACCGCTCGTACGCTTCTAGTAGTACACTAGACAAATTATCTTCATCTTGATCCACTATTGATTCATTTCTTCTTGGCTTTTGTACTTGTTGTGTGAGTTAGTAAAAGTGATAGTTTAATATTGTAAAGTGCGATTTCTCAATCACTTCTGTTAACTACGTTTCATGTATCATTATCTATCCGTTCACCTTTCAGAATTCTTATTGTAACACATTCAAATCAAGCTTTAAATCAGCTGTTTGAAAAAATTATCGCTTTAGATGTCGATGAACGTCATCTTCTACGTTTGGGTCATGGTGAAGAAGGTTTAGATACAGAGAAAGATTTTTCACGTTATGGTCGAGTGGATTATATCCTCGCTAAACGTATTCATCTTCTACAAGAAGTGAGTTTATCATTTGACATACATACATAAATATGAATAATTGACTGACTGAGTGATAGAATCAGCGTAGAATGTCGCACACTGGTGCATCGGCTCAAGTTTCCACACTTCACTGAAGTCCACAAAGAACAGGTGGACAGAAAAATAGTGATATCAAAGTAAATAAAGTACCACGAGAGAATAAACAATCTGAAGACAACAGTTGGTGTGAATATTCAAGCTTTGGAAGAGATTAAATGGTGAATACATCTCCGTCACTTCAATTGATTTTCAGCCGTGTCACCAAGAGCCCTCAACCACTGATTCTTATCGTCTCGCTGATCACAACCAGGCAGTCTACGTTTCTCCACACAGCTCAAGTCAATAATCAGGGTCTTCATCAACTGATGCCAGATGTTGGTCTGACCACACTAAACCCTTTTCCAATCTAATCTAACTTTCCCTAGCATGGCACATCGAGGTAGGCAGTGGTTTGGCATGCGTAACACATGTCCAAGCCATCTCAGCTGGTGAAGGTTCATAACCTCACCAGTCTACTTGCTTGCCTTGCCTAGTACCGTTCGCTTGACCTCATCGTTGCTCAGGTGGTGATTGACTCAGTCGCGAGCAGTGCTAACAAGAAACCTATAACCCTTTCATGTCTTCTACGTTCAACAGCCATGTCTCACAGCCATACAACAGGACAGAATAGACTGCAACGCAATGTATTCATCCTTTGATAGATAGGTGGATATCTCACTATTAGGTGCCACAGGTGATATACGTTGGTCTTCGGTATCAGAGCTGAGATTACGTCAGCAGCCAGCCCATTCGGGCTGATGCAACTCCTAGTTGAGTTAAGTGGTCTACATACTCCAGCACTTCACTCCCTATCATTAATTAAACTGGGAGTACTTGCAGTAGACCAGATGTAGAGCATCATCTTACATTTGACAGATGCGAAACCCATGCCAAACATACTCAAGTGTTCAGAAAACCCTGCATTTTATCAGTGTCTTCACCCACCAGAACATAATGAATACAAATAGTTTGAAAATCCTAGCTTAATATTCATTCCTGATATACTTATCTACCTCTCCCATTAGTGTACTTCGTGGAAACGTATTTAGGAAACTTAAAAGATTGACGTTAATTGAGCAGTTCTTGAAAATATCTGACCGTTAGCTTCATCTCGCTGCAGAGAGTCCCGTCTGCAGTCACATGCTCCCTAGTCAGCTGTAACGTACGAAACATAGATCAAGCTTAGTGCAGTGATCATATAGTATCCAAGTGTTGTGTTTGGACTTCAGTGTTAGTTCACGAATTCGTCAGTTGTGTAGCGTTTCGCAACAAGATAGAACAACTCATTACTGTCTGAATTCAAACGGTTGTCCAGCTAATATCAAGTTGTGATGTGATGAAGACTAAGAGCAAACTATCAACTATACACTTGGTTCTGTTACTATTTCCCAACTTTCCTTATCTTGCACACTCCTCAATATTATGTTTTAAATAAATAAATACTACTTCCCCGATATAAACGTAAGTCGTTAGACTTCCACTCATTAGCTTCGGCGTTTAACTTTTGAAGCCATAGATCCTGAATTCAAATCAAGCTCCATCTACTTCAGCCTACGCAGCTGGACAATATCATGACCACTCATACAACAAGTATGTTCAGTAGGCTAGTATATAAACACTTGTACTGGCTCTTTACTCGAACACCTGTGGGCGTGTTAGAGCTTATGGTGAGATGTCTGGTGGTGAGCTGTGTACGTCGAATAGCCTCCGTCAAAAATGCTCACTCTCTCCATTCTTATTAAATTTTATCACAAACTTTCTCATAGATGTATTCCTATTGTCATCTGACTACACGGGGATTGCCCTAATCATAGAAAAATTTTCGGTAGACATAGAATACGCAGTTGACATAGTCTTGTTAAGTGAAGACCCTGACGGGATATAGTCTTCTAGACACCTTGAGTAGGAATTTGAGAATGTTTGGGATGCGTTTCTCGCCACCTAAATGCAAATTGTTGCTTCAGGACTGATCTTCAACGATCCCCCAGCTAACAATAAAGAATAAAGTAGTTGAATTTGTTGAACACTTCACTTACTAGGGAAGTCGAATGAGCCCTGGTGGCTCAATGCGCAACGGAATCTCTGCACGGATACAAAAGGTTCGAATGGCTTTCATCAACATACGCCATCTGTGGCTCTACTGCGATATCCAAATGTTCATTCAGGGTCCATTGTGAAATCTGGTCAATAAAAGTAGAAGACATGAGAAGGCTTCAAGTGTTTGACCACGGTTGCCTTCGCAGCACATGCCTTGTTTCGTATTGTTACCACATGAGTAACGCAGAAGTCAGGCATAGAGTTTTAGGCAGGAAAGGTAAGTCAGTTGATGTGGTTGTGAACCTTCATCGACTGAGATGGTTGGGACATGTGTTACGTATGGCTAACCACCGTCTGCTTTGTTGCACAATGTTGGCCGAAGTAGGTTCATCACCTTTTTACTTGACGTGCTGATAGAAAGTGTGACAACATGGACCGTTTTGCAGTAATACCTGATCCTATCTTGGTTTTAATTATGATGACTAGGTTGAATTACGTCATCTGTTAGAACTTTGATAACTGACATGCATTTTCCGCTTTTATAACGAACCAAATTAAGTTGGTATTCATCATGAACTGACATCAGTTGGAGGAACATTAAAAACCTGGAAGCACGGGAACTGACAGAAGTTGCAAAATATGGACCATTCGATTCCGACCCAATGGCTTAATGGTAACATGCTGGCCACGGAACCTGAAGACCCTGGGTTTGATTCCAGGTGGAGTGGGAGCCATGGGTGCACACTGCCGAGGAGTCACATGCTAGAACGAAACAGCTATCCAATGCTTACAGTGTTTCTCCAACTGATATCAGTTCATGATGAATACCAACTTGAAATCAATAAATTCCCACAAACCACCAAATCGAAGAATTACATTGCAAACTTCAGATGTGTTAAGATCTTCACGAATCAAATAAATTTTCAGACTTCCATAAATGTTTGTTATCCACTTATCCATATTGCTGCTATTTCATATTTGTGTATAACTATTCTTTTTCCTGTTAACTTTTAATTCGTATCAAGGTTACACGTTTAGCAAAAACTTTAAATCCATCCTCAGCTGTTCCACAACTATCAACTGATCTACCTGATTCAGATACAACTGATCCAGTCAATAACTTTCATCTACAAACTTGTGAAACAGCTCAATATTTTTATGTTCAAGAGGTTCTATCACGTTGGGAAGACTTTATTAGCAAGGTGGCTTCTAGTACTCCGCATTTAATAAATTCAGCGCAACAAAATCAATCATTATCACAATTACCCACAGATGTGACTTATGATCCGAGCTTACTTCGAAATGGGTTTCCGTTCACAGAATTTTTCACTGGTCAAAAAAATCCTTCAGAAGAAATTATGTGTCAACTATTTCCTGTAAGTTTCTTGTCGTACCAAGTTGCATGACTTTTGATGGGCTATTATAGGAAAATATTGAATAACTTTTTGATAAGTATAATTTCCAATTGTGAATAACTGATTTTCTTTTTCAAGGTAGATATTCAACATGAACTGATATCAGTCGAAGAAACATTAGAAACCTGGGAGCTCTGGACAGCTGTTTCGTCCCAGCATGGGACTCCTCAGCAGTGCGCACTCATGGCCCCACCCTGCCAGGGATCGAGCCCAGGACCTTCAGGTTCCACTACCAGCACGTTGCCGATTGGCCACTGCGTCTGAATCAAATGATCCATATTTTGCAAATTCTGTCATTTCTTGATATAGGGAGATCATCATCCAATAGCATCGTTGGGTAACCGTCCTCACTTCCAATTTGATTTTGCCTCACCGGTCACAGCTTCCCATTAGAACTTCTGGACTCTTTTCTCGAAGGAAGTCACTAGTGAGCACTTGAATTTAATCCCCACAAACCTCTAAATTGAATTAATATCCAGTGCTCAAAAGTGACTTGGTTGGAGAGGAGATTCTCGAAGTTTTAATAGGAAGTTGTGACTGGTGGGGCAAACGAAGTCAGATATAAAGACAAACCGGCAGCAATGGGATTGGATGAATGTTGCTCTGCATTGCAAAATGACAGGGGTAGAAAAAATGTGGACCATTCGATTCTGATCTAGTGTCTCAAAGATAACGTACTCGCTACGGGAACTGAAGGTTTTCGGTTTGATCCCTGGCGGAATGGAACCATGAGTGCGCGCTGCTAAGGAGTTTCAAATTCAGACGAAACAGCTGTTCAGTACTGCCAGGTTTTCAATGGTTCTGCTACTGATGTCAGTCCATGTTGAATATTAACTTCAAACCTCTAAATTGAATCGATTTTAGTTGTTGGACAAAGCTTGTTTCATTTGTTCTCATTGATTTCAACGACATATCGTTTGGATTGAGATGGTGATTTAAGAAGCTCTCAGTGCAAGTTTACGCAGGATAGAGTGAGTGTCTTGCTCGTGAGTATTATATCATAGCTGGATCCCATTTGTTTTCAGCTTGATTTACTCATTCTTGTGGTTAATGTCTTCACCTTATGTTTACTAAACTCGTTGAATGGCTGAATTTTGAAGTTATTTAATTTGAATGTTGCTATCAAACCTAGAAATGAGACATCCACGACAAAGATCAAAGCACAGAGAATGCCATACCATCGCCGTCCTCATCCGAAGCCACATACATATCTTTTCCATCATTTTAAAGTAATTGTACCATACTTTAGTTGATTGGATCTACTTTGTAACAGTGATGCTTTTGAGGTTGAATTGTCGATGGTAGTTGATAGGAACCAATAAAACTAGATTCCATACTTGCTGGTGGACGTCCACAAATAGTCTTTAGAATGTCGAACGAACTTACGCTTCGCCAGAGATTCGAACTTGTGTTATTAATGCTGCAATAGAGAATGTGGATACTGAGCTTTTCAGATTGTAACTTCACTTTCCATAAGATGTAATTAAATCCACTGGTCTTTCACCTGGTGGTAACCAATGTAAGATTTTAAACATTTAACGATTGCTATAACATGAATAAAAAGCAGCAATCTGAATGAAGGATATTCTTCTCAATATTCTCTCACCAGGTCCTACAATCACTTATAAAAATGTATTTCTCCAGCTTAAAACCAAGTCAAGGGCAAATACATTTTCAAAATGAAGGGCGAGTAAGGAAGGAACTGTGAAGAAATTGTTTTTCCTTTTTTATATCTTTCAGTATTGGGATGGCAAATATACAAATGAATAATATGATGGTGAATGAAAAGATAAACGAATGAAGAAGATAAGAGTGGCCTTTAGTTTATCGAAGGCTAACGGAGGAATAACGCTTGAACATGTTCTTTCCGAATCCACAGTTTAATTTTGATCATAAGATGTGTGACATTGTAAGCTTTATAGCTCATCTATATGATGCCTTGTGTCTAATAGGTGCACTAAGATGCACATTTTCACCAATTTCACTTTGCCCTTTCGGAACCAAACCGGTAAATGTTCTCGTATCCGGAGATACACTTACCTAATCGTACACCGTATGTAACTTGTTCCGCAAGAGTAGTCAAATTGATATATTCATGATGAAGAACTAAGATTAGGTAGGCTATCGTTTAGTTTTGGATTGAGCATTGGCCAACTACTGTAAGATATGTAAAGCCGACTAGGGTAAAATGTTCTCTTGACTGCTGTAGGCGTTGTGATACGATGTCACTTGGAGCGTGTCTCCTGAAGCGAAAGCTTCTTCTCCATTGTCATCAGTTCTCGTTTAGGACCAATGGAATTCATGTTAACTTTGATGAACTTGTCTGGATATCCGTTTTCACTTAAAATATCAAAGTAGTTCTTCTTTCACACATACCTTGGGACCAGTGTGGTGTTACTTATTCCTAAGTACTGACTGAAATCTATCTAACGACTCCACAGAGTGATCATTGAATTGAGTGACTCAACACCGTTGTTTTTGTTTACTTTACTTAAGGTACTTAAGAATTTTGAATTGATAGTAGAAATAGTGTGACCGAAATGCAAATATATTGTTCATTTTAACGACACCGGTTTATGAAATTCGTACTTTAGACGTTAGGCGTACTATTCAGAATGTGATGACATTCATTCCGCGTTGGTTAGTAGGCATTTGAAAAGAAGGTAACTGTTGGTAAAAATACAAACAGTTTCACTTTTAGTAGTGATAATGGGTGATGATTGAAGGTGAAATAAGAATTTGGACCGCGGCGTGACTCGAACCACCGACCACAGGGTTACTGGTCCGATGCTCTACCATCTTAGCTATCTCAGACAGCTCAGTATGATGCTCCCTATCTAATTCAGTTACATTTGGATTGGGATGACAAGTCCTGACTAGGTAGCCAGTGCGAAGATGATCAAGCGACAGTAATGCGTTACGAGTTCGCATGGTAGTTGGGCGAAATCCATGGTGATTGAAGTGCAATAAAAACCTAGTTACCTGCCGGTTAAAACGTCAGGCTGGAAACTCGACGCGATGCTCTACCAACTGAATTACCAGGTCCCACTGCTGGTCAGATTTTTACTTCGCTTTCTTTTAATAATGATAAGTCTTTAAAATTTGTCATAGAGATGCCGCTTTTTCAGTGCATCGATATTGTTGAAAGTTTACGAATGTCCTGGAAGAATTTCAGCCCCGTGTATGATTTAATCACTATATAAGTAAGTTTTAGCACAATCCCAGTTTGTTCAGAACAATATAACAAGGTTTAAAATAAAACATGCTGAGGTTATATTTAAGCCTACCTATATAGTTGTAAACATTGTTGGAAAGGTCGCATGCTCTTCAATAGTATACCTACTCTACTAGTTAACGTTGTCTATGCCGTTCCAGTTGGTTGGATCTGGTAAAACCGGCTATTTGAAATTTAACGCTTTCCTTTAGATGATATATGATTTGCTAACCATTTCCTTGAATGTTTCATTAATACTTCTTCTTTTTTTTACTGTAGGGTCGCAATCTTTTAGAAGATGTCGCTTTAGCTCAAGCTTACTTTCGTCATTTACACTCAATATTTACACAATTAGATGAATTTCGAGCATTTGAATTAATGCGAACTGGAACTGAACGTGCCAATTACCTATTGATACAAGAAGCTAAAATTATTGCAATGACATGTACACATGCTGCATTACGTCGTAGAGATTTAGTTCAATTAGGATTCACCTATGATACAATCTTGATGGAAGAAGCTGCACAAATCTTAGAAATTGAAACATTTATCCCATTACTTTTACAGAATCCTGATATATCAGGCAGAAATCGATTAAAACGATGGATTATGATTGGTGATCATCATCAATTACCTCCAGTTGTTAAAAATCAAGCATTTAATAATTATTCTAATATGGGTCAATCATTATTTGCACGTTTAGTGAAACTTGGTGTACCGACTGTACAATTAGATGCACAAGGTCGTGCTAGACCTTCACTTTCACGTTTGTATAGTTGGCGTTATGATCGATTGACAGATTTACCACATACACTAAATGAACCATCATATCGTTTAGCTAATCCAGGCTTCAGATATGATGTACAACTTATCAATGTTGAAGATTATAAAGGTTAGTTTTTGATTCAGTCTTAATTACTTTAAATCAGAAGGCATGTTATATGGTCCACCGTCATTCGTTAAGCAGCGAATTATCAATTTATCAACTAGACAACAGAATCATGTATTACTTCCTGAATGCGTTCGCAGGAACACTACTACTCATTCATAGCTTATCAGGTTTAAACAGTATGTCTTATACGCAGATTGTTACAAACATATTATAATTCAGCTGTCTACTGTAAAACAGTGTCACTCATAGGCTAGTATGCTAATCTCCACACGGTTACTCAATTGTACTTTAAAGAGTGATATACACAAGTTCCTTTTTTCCTTCCCTTCTCCCCTTCTCCTCTCCGTTAGGTATCGGTGAATCTGAGCCAAGTCCATATTTCTATCAAAATTTAGCTGAAGCAGAGTATATTGTTGCAGTTTACATGTATATGCGTATACTAGGTTATCCAGCTGAAAAAATCACAATACTCACTACATACAATGGTCAAAAACATTTAATTCGTGATGTGATAACTGCACGTTGTGCACAAAATCCATTGTTAAACAGTCCGAGTAAAATAACAACTGTTGATCGTTTTCAGGTATGTTCATTTATTCACTGAAAATTACAATGTTACTTTTATTATTGTTTATCAATCCCACCCTACCTTTAATCTAATCTTTGCAAGTAAAACATCATTTTTTTTTTATTTATTCAATTACTGTGAGTACAATATCCTGAATAGTATTAAGACGTTAACAACTTATGAAAAGTTCAACTTGAAGAGGCCTTGTCGATTATTTTCACTAGATTCTTGATATATTTTAATAATTACTTTTAAATGTTGAATTATTTAATTACTACCACGTCAGAGTGATATTCATCATGGACTGATATCATTTGTTGAAGCATTTCAAAAAAAAAAACTAGAGTATTGGGTGGCTATTTCGTCCTAGTGTATGACTTCTCAGCATTGCCCGTACCCATGGGAGTCTCAAAGCCTACTCATGTGTATAATGCATATGTAGAGGATTCATCCATCTTTCTGTAATAACTAACTGAAATCGTTCAATGTGTTATACTGCTACCATCTATAAGGTGATTACGTCAAAGATGGTAATTATCAGTTTTTGATCATAGGTATCTTTGGAGCTTTGCTCATTTATGAAAGCGATCTTAAGAGTGCTAGTCAATGATAGCAAGTCAGTTGATATGGCTGAAGTTTCACAAATTTAAATGGTTCAAACGTATTTTGCTTTCATAAAAATGAAGATTTATTTCATCTAATCAATGTTTTCATATTTCTTTCTTCTATGGAACTTTGATTTAGGGCTTCGTTATTTATTTTCTTCAAGTTGTTATTCACTATAGACTGACATCAGTTGGAGGAACAAAGGAAACCTGGGAGCACTGGACAGCTGTTTCGTCCCAGTATGAGACTCTTCAGCAGTGTGCACCCACGACCCCACCAGGGATTGAACCCGCCACCTTCAGGTTCCGTGGCCAGCACGTTACCACTGAGCCACTGGGTCAGAGTTCAATGATCCATATTCTCAACTTCTGTTAGCTCACTGATAACATTGCTGTATTGCTAGAATGATAACTAATTTTATCTTTTCACATGAAATCTTTAGTCCTAAACTTGGAATTCATAATCACTACGCTTAAAAGATTATGATACAAGTTCATCTCTTATGTTGGGGACATATATGACTGAATGATTCAATGTTGCCAATTTGAGAGAATATATTCCCTAATGGGTTATCAAATGTATTTAACATGAATTAGTATCATTTATTATCTTTAAAATCAATAATATTTCTTATTTATGATTTCTATTTACAGGGTCAACAAAACGATTATGTATTAATTTCATTAGTACGTACACGTACTGTTGGTCATCTACGTGATGTTCGACGTTTAGTTGTTGCATTATCTCGTGCTAGACTTGGATTGTATATCTTTGCTAGAATTGATCAATTCTCAAATTGTCCAGAATTAAAACCTGCTTTCGATTTATTATTGAATCGTACTGGTCATATATCATCAGTTGGTGAACAAATGAAACCAATTCACTTACATTTAACACCATGGGAAGTATGGATTGTAAGTTGAAGCAAATAAAATACCAAAGAGAAGAATAAAAGATGTATTTTACATTATTTTAAAATAAGATGTACTTTTTTGTCTGCCTTTTCATTTTATCAATTATCTTCTACAGGAATCTAGTATTTCAGCACGATGATGATTTCCATTCATCAGTTGAATGTTATATACGATTTATATTGACACAAAGTATCCATAATTTAACTGGATTCAGAAAGTACAAATCATGTACGAACCGAATTGCAACCCTACGCATCACCATAGAACAGAACTTGATTGGAAAACGGCTACCTTGTCGAACTCACAAACAAGAGAGACCTAAGCCTTTCCTTGCAAGAACTGATGAGGAATCATGCTCCTGTCCACACCAAGCAAAATATTACGCCGCATCATCTCAGAGAGACTAAACAGTACTCTGCATTCAAAATTACAACCAGAAGAAGTTGGCTGCCTCCAGGAAGTACAAATCATGTACGGATCAAATTACAACACTACACTACGCATCATCATAGAACAAAGCATAGAATGGCAGTCAACTCAAATCAACTTCAACTTCGTCGACTTTGAAAAGGCCTTCGATATCGTCAATCAAGAAGTAATTTGGCAGCTGGTGCAACAAAAATTTATCAACCTCATTCAACAACTATATGAAGACGCCACATGCCAAGTGATTCACAGTGTAAAGCTCAATGACGCCGTTGAAGTGAAGTGAAGACAGGAAGGAGTAAGACAAGGCTGACGCCTACTGTCACCCATGATCTTCATCATTGTGGTCGACTGGACTGGATCATGCAGCGAACCGGGGGAAGCGAGAAGATGAGCATACGCTACCTGGATCGATGTAAAGAGCCTAGAAGATTTGGATTTCACCAACGATGATGATTTATGTCTAATGTCTGATGTCGCACAAACTCGAAGATCTACAGGCTGAAACTAACAGGTTGACAGAAGAGGCGAGGCAGCGAGGGAGGGGGGGCACTTCCTTCAAGTGAACCTAGAGAAGACAGAGGTGGAGAAGATACTCAACCAACAACAACAAGCACCAATCACCATGAACGGGAGAAATCCAAAGGAACTTGTCTCTTTCACCTACCTTGGCAGGCAGCTTCGTTTCAACTACAGGCAGCACAGACAAGGACGTCAAAGTCAGGATCGGAAAACAAGATAGACGTTCATCAACCAGTGTGGAGATCTGCACTCAGAATAATGCATGAACAAGATCCTTATTTTCAGCACTAATGCCAGTCAAGTCAGTGCTTCTATGTGATTGTTGTGAGACTTGGCGCGTTAATTACTATTAACTCTAGAACATATGTAATACTACACTACATTGTTGAGTTAGCTTTATGATTGTATTTTGCAAACAGCTGAGAGAATCCAGTTAACAAGTAAACCTAGAAATCGATTGTTATATCATATGTAATATAGTATCTCTCTGAATATTCATTGATCTGCTTGTAATTCTGCCTCGTTTTACTGGATCGAATTGCTCAACCTCTATTGGTATATGGGGGCTCCTATGCGGATGCCTCGGTATTACCTGAATAGGTCGAACAATTCGATCCAGTAAGACAACGTAGAATTACAAGCATATGCATAAATAGTAATAACAAATACGCATTGTACAAGAGGTGACTATTGTGCCTCCATGAGCCTAGTGGATAAACGCCTTGGCGTTTGAAGCAATGGGTGCGAGGTTTGAGTCTCAGCGCGAACAACATCACTCTACACTGGGATGCAGGTACATCCAGCTGACGAGTCTCAAGTAGGACGAGACGCACAACCTGGATTCCTCTGCTAGTCACAACTAAGTAAATTATCATAATTTTTTTCTTCTTCATTCGTAATATGTTTGATTTTTGACTGGAACCCTTTAGAAGTTCTGTAAAGACTTCAGATACTCCTTTCTTTTTTATACTTCTAACTAAAATCGAAGTGTAAGGGTATTTGAGTTTTTGTTCAGTAGTGTATGAACATTCTGTCTTGTATACAGTCGAGTCCTTTAAACGCATTGATTCCGTTTCACTTACGTCGGAAGACCGATTTGCATAGTGATGTATCTGCGTTAGGGATGACATGGGTTCTAACAATAAGCGAAACGAGTAATAACGCAACGAGATAATTGGACTGGATACGAGTAATACGACTGTTCTCTCCTACATCATATACTTTACGGAGCCGTGAAAATCAGAAGACAGGCCTGTAGTTGACTTCAGGAAGACGATTTTATTTGACAAAAATATAGTATTTATATACAGCTTCTATTCCGAAAATGAAGCCACTGGACCACCAATCAGATGGACATAAATCAAGGTCTGAAACGCAAATATTTCTACGCCAACGGCGAATGACCTTGAACGACTACCATTTTTAGACACTTCCTAACACCCCCCGTAAAAAGTGTATGATTTTTTTTCAGGGCCCACTTGGAAGGGCTTTGGTCTTCTGCAGGTGATAACTGACTCAATGCTGAAGATGTACTTTCGTAGGGTGAGAGAGCAAAGCATTCAAAAAAAATTTTCGTCGTCTTTTCCTACCTTCACCTTTAATACATCATCTGCGACAGACAATGATACATGCTTCTGGAGCGAGTGTTATGACTGAGACTTATCCGACATGCGAGACGAAACCTCATTATCATAGGGTGACGTTGTATCAGAACATATTGAATTCAATGGAACACTTAAGGTATCAAGTTTATGAATCCAGTCCAACCCAAGTACGTCTAAATCATCACGATTTGTTAAGAAACAGACATCATTGAATTTAAGGTCACCAAATTGAATATGGCAACTAATCTCATCAATCAGTTTTAGCACATCTGAAAAAGCATTTTTAGCAATATGGTCAGTTGGATGGATCTGTGGACACCCAAGTGTGCGTCATATGCTGATAAAATGTTTCACTAACGTAAACCATCACTATTTAGTAGCAACTATCAGTGCAGTTTCTAATAACTCTGTCTAACTTCTTCATTGATCCTACTGCATGGTAGCCAATGAAGACACACAACCAACAACAGCGTCAACAACAAGCACCAATCACCTTTAACGGGAGAAACCTAAAGGAAGTAGTCTCTTTCACCTACCCACCTAGGCAGCATCGTTTCAACTACAGGCGGTGGCGGCACAGATGAGGGTGTCAAAACCAGGATCGGAAAACCAAGACAGGCTTTCATTAATCTGAAATCACTGTGGAGATCTAATGCACTCAGCACAAAGAACGAGATCCGGATTTTCAACACTAATGTCAGTCAAGTCAGTGCTACTATATGGTTGAGAAACTTGGCGTGTCACGAAAGCATTTCCAACAAATTACAGACATTCATCAACAACCACCTACGCTGGCTCGATACTGAAGATCAGATGGATTGCCAGAAAGAATAAGCAACAAGGAACTCTGTCTGGCTGGTAACGAACCAACCAAGAACCTATCACGCGACAAGTATGCAGAGGAAGAAAGTGGAGATGGATTGGGCATAGAGTGAGAAGGCCGACTGGGGACATCACGCGCCAAGCCAGGTCGACGAGTGGAATCCGAAGGGGAAACGACGATTTGGGCGTCCCAGCTGAAGGCGACACGGAGGAGATGATATAAGGAAGAAATGGCAGCTTGTGGGCAGTCGTGGAGCGAGGTTCAAAAGACTGTAGAGAAGAGAGTGAGATGGTGACGTGCTACTGAAACCCTATATTCCACTAGAAACCCAAGGGAATAATAATAATAACCTATTCATTTGTTAAGTGAGTTTTGCGTATCGAATATTTTCTTTAAGATAACTTTGAACAGCTGTCCTGAATATCTTGTCTGTTTCCTTTTCTTGCCCGAATTTTCTTTACATGGTGTAATTATTGATTTTTAATGTATTTCTTTTCTAGGATCCACGTAGTCCGATAGCACTTGCTACTCAACGTATGCAATCCGATAGTCTTGATCGAGCACCATTAATCATTAAGGATATGCCTCATATGAGCAGTTTTGTTCGTGAGTTGTACGATCAAAAACTGGAATATTTGATGACTCAATTACAGAAACAACAACAAACCAAAACAAAATTGCCAACCACTACCACAACCGCACCCGATTTCACTTCTACTACAGTGACTGCTATTACCACAACAGCTGTATCGCCTACTTCTACTGTCGCCAAGGTAATGACATCTATTTCAGAATCAAGTGAAGTACATCAAGAAGAACAAAAAATGGATGTTGAAGAGGATAGTATGAATGAGATCAATGAAGAGACAGATAAAATTAGTCATGTGTCAACTGTTGATTCTGTCGGTAATACTGCAGCTGAACCTACAACTACTTCTACAGATGAAGTGGCTAATACATCGGTGGAGATGGCAAATACTGATTAAATGTCATGTATATTATTATCCTTCAACATGCCTTGTTTTTTATTTGTCTGGTTGTATACAATAAAATCCTTTTTATTCAAATTATTGTTATCAACGATGACTGATGGGTTGAAATTAAATAATTGGAACTCTGAATGTAGTGGTCATTCAATATTCGCATGAAACTTGGCACTACAGTCCAGGTTCCCGCACCTCATGCACACACACATGCGCTCTAAGATGAGTAAGATGGAAGGAAGGAAGTAATCATAAGTAGTAGAAGGTCGTAAAAAGAGAACAAGAAGGTGTGAAACAATAATGACGTTGGGCTTGACGATTAAGATGGATAGTGCGTAAGTGAATGTGCTACTGAGGTCAAGTCTGAGCCAAGAGTCTGTAACCACTGAGTTAGAATGTCACGCGCATATCAACCTGAAAGTTTACGTATCCCTACGTGACTCAAACCGACAGTCACCGACTGGTGTGAAATGACCTAGCGGATAATAATAATAAATGCCCGAATGATAATAATGCTGTGGGACACTTGAAATAGGTACGAGTAACGACTATTCTCCTTTTGAACCGCAAAAATCAGTGGACAAAGACTGGCCTCTAACCTTAAGGAAGACTCCTTGTTCGATAAAAATAAATTATATGCGGTTTTCATAAGTATATAAAACCACTAAGTCAACTGTTGGATATTTATTTGATTGGTCAGCTGTAGGACAAATTATCCAGGCTGATGACATAAAATGTTGATTTCCCCAAGACACCTGAGTAGATGACTTACGTCGTTGCCTAACTCCTACACTCTTACGGCATATGTTCAAGCTATCGAAAAGTAAACTTTCACATCTGTAGGAATGCCTAATTTCGTGTTCCTCTCATTCTTGGAATCATTATGCAAGCCTCCTGATTACATTGAAAGTGGGCAACCGTCAAAATGAGATCCTAATTGTCGACCTCAGCCTCTTGCTGCACAATTCAAGTAGACTTAAGCATCGAAGGTAAATCATGGACGGTGTTAAGAGTTTAGGCTACTGAACAAGCGTCCACTTCGTCCTGATTGATAGTTGTTCCTCAGTCGGTACGAACATATGATGAAATTGATTCTGAGATGATAAAAATCTTTCTGAAGTTGTTTTGGAGCCGGATGGTCGAAAAAAATGACTAATTAACCGACACCGCCGGCCCACCAGACCGTGGGGACACTGAGTGGCAGTTTAGGGTACATTTCTTACCACCCAAATGCAATTGTTTCTCCAGGACTGATCTTCAACGATGCCTTGGTTAACAATGGAGAGTGTAGTGGTTGAGTATGTTGACCACCTCACTTACCTGGGAAGTGGGATCAGCCCTGGTGGCTGAGTGGCCGATGAAACCTCTGCGCGAATAAAAAAGGCTCGGTTGGTTTTTGCCAACTTACGCCGCCTCGGTATGCGATTATCTATTAAGGGTCGCGTGTACTGCACAACAGTCCGCTCTGTTCTACTGTATGGCTGTGAAACATGGCCATTAAAGGTGGAAGACATGAGGTTTCAGGTGTTTGACCACCTTTGCCTTCGAGGTATAGGTAGTATTCCATGGTGTCACCACATGAGTAACTCAGAAGTCAGGCCTAGAGTTCTAGGCAGGAAAGGTTGACACGGTTGTGAAGCTTCATCGACTAAGATGGCTCGGACATGTGCTACATCCGCCTCGTCACACAATGTTGACCGAAGTAGGTTTGCTCAGGTTGGAAAAAGACCCGAGGCGGCCTGACTAAGACACAGCATCAATGTATGAAGTCTTTGACTGCTGGTTCGGAGGCGACGCAGACTAGGTAATTGCAGCCTGCAGGACATGAGAAATTAGTGGTTAGAGACTGACCCTAGGGGATATGCGTCAGAACTAATGTCATTGACGCAGATGTATGCACACATTATCCTCATATTTACGCTATACCGAATCTCATCATCATCTCATTCTTCCTTTTTCTCTTTGAGTAGTTTATATTTCTTTTGACTACGTTTTCTTTTCTTCATCTTCCACTTCACTGCCTTTTTACTTGATGTAGTGATATGAGCTGTAGCAACTCGGACCGTTACCTAGTAATGCCTTGTCTTATGTTCATTTGGATAGATGGATCTTTCTGGAGTAATTTCAGTTGAAAAACGCATCAAACTACTCATAATAATAATGAACAATAATAAAAATTTATTTTTGATAAACATTCATGCTCTCGATTAATTCAATGATTGTACAGTTGATAATTCTTCTATTTGTTTTTTCTCCCTTGAATATTCCTCTTCAATTCTTTCTTTCAATTTCATTGTATCTAAGATGACCTTAACAAAAGTGTTAAAATAATTGTATTAGAAACATATTTGTTTGATCCATTGAAATTAGTCATAAAACAAATCTGTATCAAGAATATTATTTTCTTCATGAAATTTCTGTTCAAACGGAGTTGTTTCCTCGTATGCAATAGATTTAGTTTATAGTTAAGTACACCGAACATTTATTTGTAGACTTTTATGTCTTGCTAACTGATAATATAGTCACCTGGTCCTTGAATTTATAAATTTAGTAATTACCTTTGTCAATGAAATTAATCTTTTATTTGATAAACTTTTTATTAAAATAGTTATCATTCCAGTTACATACAAGTAAGACTGTCAAGGATAACCTGGTTAATGGATTATATACCCACATAAAGTCATAACAACACTTAAGATACATCTGTATGCCTTTCTGATGATGTTTCAAATAAGCTAAGAAACTAGACAAGCTTTAGTTTTATCCGTTTGCTGCCTATCCAGATCTTCTGATTCCCCTTCACACTGATTATGAGTGAGCATACTGAATATCACTGGTTCATTTTCAAGTTCTAAAAATATATTTCAATGATATACCAGCAGTCATTGTATATGAATGTTAATTTATGACTATTTCATAACCTTACAAGTTCAACAGCAGAGTTTTCAAAGGCTTCGATCAGTATTTATAGATATTTCAGTCATAATTATATGCATATAGTTCAGATGATTGTTGTTTTGAAGTAAAATTACCAGAGTGATAAAACTAGTTTTTGATTAAACTTTCATAGAGTTAAAGGAAATATGAAAAATAGTTGGAGTTCTAAAAGAGTTGTGAGGGTGGTGACACTTTCCGTCTACCCACACCACGGAAGGTTTTCTTCTTGTAGTACCTCACCTGGTTAACTAGTTCACTAGTTACTAGCCGGTCCTAAGCCCGGGTAAAGAAAGAAGGTTGGACATAGGGCTAGCAACTCTACCCCGTAAAACAAATCTAACCGCTAAACAAACTTCAAAGCACAAACGAAATATAAAAAATAAAAACAAACTTATTCCTTGCTGGAATCGGAGAGGCGAAATGACGCCAGTTCCTGAAAGCCTTCGGAAAGCCAATTGGCCAATGTGTCTTCTCTCCCTAGATGAAAGCGAAAGTAAACGTGGGGACATGGAATGTCCGCACCATGTTTGAACCCAGCAAGGCAGCCCAGATTGCAAACGAGATGAAGAGGTATCACATTGAAGTGCTTGGAATTTGCGAAAGCAGATGGAATGGGAGTGGACTCTCCAAACTGTCAACTGCAGAATCAATAGTCTACTCCGATATTGTCACCCAGACGACAACCACGATCACACTGAGTTCTCCAGTGGCTATCATGATGTCCCGGAGAGCATCGAAGGCTCTCATGCAGTGGGAACCAATCTCCTCCAGGATCATGACAGCAAGATTCAACTCAAAAGGAAGGAAGGTCACAATCATACAATGCTATGCCCCTACAAATAATGCAGCGCAAGAGAAGGAGGAGGAATTCTACAGACAACTTCAATCAACACTGGACAAGACATCAGTTGGCGACATCAAAGTTCTAATGTGTGGGGTGACATGAATGTCAAACTGGGAGGGGAAAACACAGGAAGAGAACTAACTATGGGTCGAGAAGCGCTCGGTGAGGTTATGAACGAAAATGGAGAATCGTTTGCAGAATTCTGTGCATTCAACTATTTAGTGATTGGAGGTAGTGTGTTCAAGCACAAGGATATCCACAAAGCTAGCGACATGGATTTCACTAAACACCAGGACTCACTACACTAAAAATCAGATCGACTTTATCTCAATGTGAAGAAAGTGGAGACGCAGTCAGCCTACTTGACATAAGGTGAAGAAGAGGAGCAGATTTGGGCTCAGACCACTCACTATCTAGTGCAAGGAACCTTCCACATCAAGTTAAAAGCCTTCAAAGAAGCTGGTGATAGACCACAGTTGAAGTGCAACACCCAGAAGAGAAACTGAAGGATGAAACTACAAAGGAAATCTTCACGGCAGCCAGGCATCAAGACAAAATGGGAGATATCGAGGAACATCTCTGGATGAACACTGTAAGTCTTTGGAAGCTATGTGGGAAGAAACCTGCATAACCTTATTAGGAAGGAAGAAGAAAGAAGATAAAGAGTGGATCTCGATGGACACATGGGAAGTGATAGAGAAGGGAGACGAGGATGGTGAAGCAGAAGATAAACCAGTGCAAGGATGAACAACAACATGAGGAACTGAGTACAACGTATAAGACACTACAGTGGACAAAGAAGTGAAGAAGAGTACACGGAAAGACAAAAGATACTTCTACGAAACTGGCGAATGAAGCAGAACAGGCTGCTGGTAGGAAAGACAGAGACCTGACAACATTGTATCAAATAACCAGGTTGCTATCTGGGAGTGAAGAGATCAACGCAGATGAAACCAATGAAAGATGATGACGGAAATTTAACTACGAAAGAAGAGAAAGATAGGATACGATGGGCTGACCACTTTCAAAAGCTCTTGAATCGACCACCACCACCTTCACTTCGTCCAGAAGTACTACCTGCATTCACAGAACTACAAGTAAACATAAATCCTCTGACAAAAGTGGAAGTCCTGAAGGCCATAAAGCTACTGAAATGCGGGAAAGCAACAGGACCAGACGGGATACCGCCAGAAGCACTGAGAAGAGACGCAGAGACGACAGTGGACATGCTCACACCACACGACTATTGCAGAAGGTGTGGAAGGAAGAGAAGGTACCTGGCCATTGATTGGAAGAAGGGTTAGCTTGTCAAACTGCCGAAGAAGGGTGACCTCAGTGTTTGCAAGAACTGGCGTGGAATCACTCTCCTGTCCATCCAGAGCAAGCAAAATATTAAGCCGCATCGTCCTAGAGAGGCTAAAGGATGCACTGGATTCAAAACTACGACCGGAACAGGCTGGCAGGCTGGCTGGATTCAGGAAGTACAAATCATGTGCGGATCAAATTGCTACGCTTCGCATCATTGTAGAACAGAGTATAGAATGGCAGTCGACTCTCTACCTCAACTTCATCGACTTTGATAAGGCCTTTGACAGCGTCGGCCGAGAGGTAATTTGGAAACTGCTCCAACACTACGGAATACCGCAAACCATTATCAGTCTCATTCTACAACTATATGAAGACGCCACATGCCAAGTTATTCACAATGGGAAGCTCAGTGATGCTTTTGAAGTGAAGTGAAGACAGGAATGAAACAAGACTGTCTACTATCACCCATGATGTTCCTGGTTGTGGTGGACTAGATCATGCAACAAACAGTGGGGAGCTGTGAGAAGAGGGGGATACGCTGGCTGGACAGGGGAAAAGAACCTAGAAGACTTGGATTTCGCCGTTGATGACTAGTGTCTGATGTTGCACAAACTTGAAGATGTATAGGCGAAAACTAACAAGTTGACAGAAAAGGCAGAGTAGGGCAGGGCAGCGAAGACGAGACTTCAAGTGAATACAGAGAAGATAGAGGTGATGAAGATACCCAACCAACAACACCAACAACAACAAGCTGCAATCACCATGAACGGGGGGAACTTAAAGTAAGTAACCTCCTTCACGTATCTGGGTAACACTGTTTCAACTACAGGCGGCGGTGGCACAGACGAGGAATTCAAAGCCAGCCAGAATCGGAAAAACAAGGCAGGTTTTCTTTAGCCTGAAACCAGTGTGGAGATCTTCTGCACTCAGCATAAAGTGTGAACAACATCCTCATTTTCAACACCAACGTCGAGTAAGTCAGTGCTTCTGTATGGTTGAGAGACTTGGCGCGTTACGAAAGGGATTTCCAACAAACTACAGACATTCATCAACAACTGCCTACACTGGCTCGTTACTGAAGATCAGATGAATTGCCAGAAAGAATAAGCAAAGAGGAACTCTGGCTGGTGACAAACCAACCAAGAACCCACCGGTCAACAAATATGCTGAGGAAGGAAGTGGAGATGGATTGGGCATACAGTGGGAAGGCTGACATCACGCGTCAGGCCAGTCGCTCAAGTGGAGGCCAGATGGGAAACGAGGAGTTTGACGTGGGTGTCGAGGGTGACATGGAGGAGATCGTGCGAGGAGGAAATGAGAGTTTGTGGGCTGTTGTGGAGCGAGGTTCAAAAGATTTCAGAGAACAGAGTGCATTGGAGACGTGCTTCTGAAGGGACAAATAATAATAATAATAGTTCCTGAAAAAGAAGTTGGTAATAGTGGTGTGCGACCTCAAAACGCAAAGGACATCTGCTTTGAGGTCTGTCACACTGTCTGTTTTAAAGTTTGCCTGCTTCGAATCCGACTGTGAAGTCATGCCCTCACCAGCGCAGGATACGAGAGGAGTGCGCTATCCTTAAGACTGACCTTTTCTAACCATTCTTCCTTTAGGAAAGGCAGAATCAGCGTGGCACTGCTGATCTTCAGAGGGAGACACCTTTCTGCTTTCACATCCCTACCCCACCAGCAGTACGACTTCCCGCGCAGATTCCCATCACAGTGTAGTAAATTACACTATAACAGAAACTGCTTTTTGTCTTACCACAATTCAACCAACGTTTCTGGCATAATCGAACCTCAAGGAATAAGTTTTCCCAACAATATAGCTTGTTAGGTCATTGTGAGATGCAAATCCGACAATCATGTCAAGGTAGAAGCTATCGGTCTAGTGAAAAATAGTAACCAAATAAAGACTTTTCAGAGCAATATTGGTGCCATGCAGTAGTGGCTAGTAGTATAATTCAGATTTCGCGTTGACTGTGACCTAGTATCTATGACTTCAAACACCAACTTATAACCTATGCACTAGACTACTATCATTTGAAACAATGTGTGCTGGGTTCTAATTTCCTGTTGGAACATTATTACACTTCTATTTAGGTACATTCGACAAATGAGTCCAAAATAACCGGAAATATACGTCTTGAATTACACCGCCCATCCACTACAAATATATAACTGACACCTGATCGTATACAATATCTAGGAATCCGTTGAAGG